GACGTTGAAGAAAAAACTACTTTCGATAAATATCACCGAACACCCTATAACCGCTTGCACAAGTTGAATGGCAAGGATTATAACATATTGCGAACCAGTGATCGATTTACTCAATGGGTCACATAATCAGGAGTATCCAATTTGTTGTATTAGCTGCACACCATGAAGAATACAAAATATAAAAATAATGTTGCTTATGTAACATATCAATATACAATTGCATTTAAGAAATTAAGCCAATGAAAAATAATAATATACCGATAAATATAGAAACAAATTTTATACCATCTAATAAATTTGAATCCGTGAAGAATATCTGCTTCAGATTTTTAAATAGGTTTACGAATACGTAAGCAAAAAAACATGCATAGGTCGAATATAGTAACATAAGAGTCAGTACTCTGGCTATATAAGCATATTTTTTCATAATCTGTCAGTTTCCCTTGTCATTCTTAACAGACAACCAATCGTCGATAGCACCATTAATGTTTATATTAGTTTTTTTTGACTGAGACCGATGCACAGATGTTTCATGATTGCAAGCATCGCGAGCACGACAAATAGTATATTTTCTATGCCTGTATTTACGTTCTGATTGCTCCATGTAAGATTCAACATCACAAAGGGTATCACCATAATCTAAATAATAATTTTTTGACTTAAAAGTTCATGTACGTGGGCATAAATATTGATAAGCATAACAATAGCAAACAACTTTTGTAATTTATAATAAAGCATAAAATAGCAGATAAAAATTAAAATAAAAATTAATAAAAAAGGAAATCTATTTTTTCACTATTATAAAAAAAGTCATGAAATTATTTTGCATATGTCAATTCCTTTTTCTCATATATATTTCATTCAGCTGACATGCATTAACGTACCAGCGCAATAAGACAGAAGCCCCATCGTGTCCTCGTGAATAGCGTCTGCGTTTGCAATGGCCACATGCCGTGTATATCTAAGAATATTTTATCAATGGAGAAGACATAGGCGATGTCGTCGTTCCAACGTTCGGTCGACATTATGGGATAGGAACACCTCGAATGACTGTCCCATTCCAAAGCACTTTGTTCAGTAGCTGCTAATAAAAATTAGCCAATTTAACGTCATTTGATTTATAGTCATTTCATCAAGTATTATCTTAATCTATCAACCGCGCCTCATTAGCTTATTACCTCGATTAACTTATATTTTATTAGTCTGTACTGCAAACTTATTACCCCGATGAACTTATGTTTTATTAGCCTGTACTTTGTATTCTTCTTAGGCAAGTAAGATATAAGACGCGAAACAGCGGAGAATAAAGAACGTATATATTTTTATCCACGTGTCGATTAAAGTGTAGAATTGTGCGTTTTGACATTTATTTCATTACAATAATAGTATAAATATAAACATTCAATCTTTGTTTATGCTATATCTAATATTTAGCAAAATACGTTATCGATATCACACATACAAGACTGTTGATGCGTATACAAGATGAAATAACTCATAAAAAGAAAATAACGCGCACAATCGAAGATATTTTAGTCACAATTTATTATCGTGTGTGTTCAACCGTATTATTTTTCATTCTTCCATCATCACTCTGAGAACACGGAGAGGTAGGAGTTTGTAGCTTTTAAAATCTCTTTGAAGAAGAATAAATTCATAGGTAGGAATCCTGTCCTTTATTTGATGAGGAATTATTCCTCAAAACATTAAGTTTTTTAATATTTAATGTTTTTTATAGTTTTACAATTTAAAAATTTTGAAGCAATAAAAATATGTAGTTACAGAAAAAGTCGCAGTGTTGCAGAAAAAGAAGTGGTTATGTGAAACAAAATCAATATTTGCTCATTAATATTTATTAGATAGATTGCTTTTACATTGTATAATCGTATAGCATATAGTTTATCGGCCAATTTTATTGTCAGAGAGATTTTCTCGCGTAATTGTATCTAATTTTCTCAGTAATCCCGTCTATTTTATAACCATGGAAAGTCACATCGGATTACAATATATTACGATATTTTGCACAAACTAAATAAATTGGCGATAATAAGTCTAACAATTGATTTGACGGTCTACTTTACATATCTCGATGATTCTATGTAATCGAGCGATTTAGGACAATTTTACTCCGCCGGATCCAGGACACTCTCCTTTGCTCTTTACAGCCAATTCTGCGGTAAGAATAATTAACGTGTAATTATAATTATTTTTATTATTTATATAAAAAAAATGAATTAATAAAATTTTTTTGGTATACGTATACTTACTCGTTCCCATCTCGCAGTTGTGAACATCTAAAGCGCACTGCGTGCCGAAAGTCCTTGGTTTGAAGTTGGAGTCAGCAGGATCGTGAACGCAAATAGGATCATAATCAGTCCCGCATTCTCGGGCGCAGTCCTTCTTATTCTTCTTCGCCTCCTTGGCAGCCTTGATAGCATCTTTTATGTCTTTCGACGCGGTCGCTGCTTCCTTTATGTCCTTAGGTTCCTTTATTTCCTTCAAGGTGGTTGCTTTTGCGTCATCGGGAAGAGCATACGTGTTCTCGCAGAACGTAAACATGCTAAGGAATGCAAATGCTGAAAAAGATTAAAGGGAATACAAACTTTAATTTAAAATTAGTCACAAAAATATTTTAATCTATTTTTTTTACAAATTTCTAATTATTTTTTTATAAAATAATAGAAGAGATTTTTGTTTAAATTACAATCGCATTTTACGAAGTTATTTTAAAATTTCTCTCAATAAAGTTACTGATAATAATAATTCTTTAATGATCACAAAATATTATTCTTATCATTATTATGTTACTTTGAATGATTGATGTGATTTTCGGAAGTTTTCCACGTTGGCAATTTTTATAGAGAACGATATTACGTAAATCCATTGATAGTGGCTTAGCATCTCGTTGGGATGCTACGTGGCCTTAATACGCGTCTCTATTGGATGATTGCACCTTTATTGAAATCAAGGTTTATTTTAAATCGAGTTCAACCCGCTCCTTACGACATGATTGCGATGTTTCTTTGCTCAAGGACACGCCTACGCTTATTTAAAGATTTTCTTTAATTTTTTTGTGGTCAGAGATATCTTTGAAAACGTCAAATTTTCGCGTGAATAACAATTTTAATAAATACTTAATTCAAAAAATTGGAAAAATTTTTTATTAAATAGTTTTAATAATGTAACGCGATCAAAATTAAGCAAAATTTTTTAAATTAATATATGACCAAAGTGTGCATGTGTGTGCGTGGCAATAACACCGAGACTTTATTATAAATCTTGATAAGCTTTCTCTTTTTTTATAGTTATGTATTTAAGATTTAACATTATTAACACACATTAACAAAAATCATGCAATACGTTCATGTCAATCTTTTAAAAAGATATAAATCACCTAGATGAAAGAATAGTAAATATAAAATAATACTTATATCATTAAATCTTATTTATAATATCTTTTAAATATACACAAGTAAATGATTACTAAATTGCCAGCAATTTAATGAGACTTTAAAATATTTATCTGAACTTCTTTAACGTCTTTATTTCAAAGAATTGCATATGTCAGTTAAATTTGATTAATAAAATTGTAATATATTTAATTAATCGCGAAAATTATCGCGATTATTTTTACTACAAAATCTTAAATAAAGTCGGCGCAGTTTTCGTACCAACTATAATTGCTACCTCCATCGTTCCGGTTGATCAGTGATGCCTTTTGGTTGAAATTTCTTGATGACAATTTCTTGACACGGTGAATGACAATCAAGAGAAGACTGACATATCGTGTCACCATGCTACGTTTATAAACCGAGTTAAATCCCCATCCCCACTTGAGAGGAATTGAGAGTAGGATGTATTATGCTTGGATCATGATAGTTGAGTTAATTATGCTTTATATGGTATATAACTTCCAAATTTCATATATTTTAATGTCTTAATATATTAAAGAAAATATAGATTGCCATCAATCAATATAACATTTATATAAAGAAACGTTAAATTATAAATGTACTTTAAATTAAATTATCTATAATTTTAAATTACAATTATCTAATCTTGAATAATTTAACTTAATATGCTTTTACATAAATATCCAACCTTAATTCTATTTTTATTTAAAATAATATATTTTATACATTTTTAAACGAAAATAATTTGCCGTCTCATACGGATAAATAAGAAACATATAAAATTACACTTACCATTTGCGTCGATATATCCATATATTTAATTACCTATTAAAAACTGGGAGCAAAAATACTTTTGTTCAGGTAAAACTTTATTTTCTAGCGCACTTGTACACTTCACTACTTACAATTAGTACGTAATAGCATCGAATAATCCCGGTGTCATGGCTGAAAGGAAAGCTCATTCCTGTAATCTTCCTTAAACGTCTCGTATGACGTCGATACAAGCTTGATCCGGATGACGTTTCGCAGCATTTTGCAAAGGATTTTTTAAATTATGCTTATAAGATATATATTTTTAAAGTTATCTTTTAATTATGTGATTAAAAATCGATCAGAATCAGGAGGATGAATTAAGCATTCAGCAGAGATTTCGAGAAAATATTTTTTTTATAAAATATAAATAAATAAATATAATAAATAATACGAGTGTAAAAAGATGAACGTGAAAATGAAATTCGATGATAATGTGAACTTCTTCTCACTGCTCTTTCTGTTTCGTTAGCTGTCTCTCTTCCTCCGTGTAGCTGTTAAATAAATTCAAGTAGTCATACCAAGATTCGTGAAACGTAAGCGCTTCAGTGATGCGACACGTAAGAGTCGTACATTTCTCCGTGGAATTTAAACGAGTGTTGTTTTGTGCCTCGTACTTCTCGACGGAACTTCTAACTACGCCTTCGAGCCTATTTAGTGTTTCTAAACTCGTAAAAGCTGAAAAATATACCATGTTATTAGACAAGAATAATAAAAAAAGATAATAAATCAATGTTTTAAGTTGAAAATTAATTGATTCCAATTAATCGCTGAAATTCTTATTATACATAATTAAAATAGAAAGTTCAGAGACACTTTCTGCAAATTAATCTAACAACTTACGCGATGATAAACTACGTTCTTCATCGTCGTCGTCTTTATTGGAGACTTTTTTCTTGATTATCTCAAGTTTTGGTATGAAAAGTAACAAGCAGATTACCGCGATAAATTTTACGATCATCTTGAAGATCACTAACTTTAATATGATTTTTGCAATGGTGAATGCGTTCAGTTTGAGAGCGAACGGCAAACCTAAATCGAAGCTCGGCAGAAGGGAAATAGAAGAAACATCCGGTAGTGCATAAGGCGCGCTGTAGATTGGAGTTGGAATGGAAGTGTGTACAGAAGGGCCATATCCTAAAACAAATCAAGAAATAATTAGGTAAGTGATTAATTAATGCTAAAAAAATATCATGATCAAATAAAATGGGAAAAAATTTTGTTTGCAAAAAAATTTGACTTTGCATTGATCGAATGATGCATCTGCAAAACTTGCATCAATTTATTTTATGAGCATATATAATGTAACATTTGCAGTTTGCGAGATAATTTGTTACAAATTATTATTTGAATGAGCCAAGTACTAATTGTGAATTATTAATAATAATTATGAATAAAAAAGTAAAGAGAAAGAAATCATTAAATTTTTTAAACAATATATTTATAAATATTATTTAATTTTGTTTTCTTTAAATAAACTGTTTTCTTTAGCAACAAATGCTTCGACTGTCATAATAATACCTTTGGCCTCACCTTGTTGAGGTGGTGGATAAGAATTCTCGGGCGGTCCGTATGAAGGAGTTTGCGGATAATACGAGGGATTTTGCGACGTTCCGTACGGATTCTGTGGCGGACCATAAGAATTTTGTGGGACGTTGTAGCCCGTTGACGGTTTGAAAGATTGGGGATAAGAATTGCTAGGTCCTCCGTAAGTGACTTGCGGATTCTTGGGTGGGTATGACGATTCGGGCGAACCGTACTCCGTTTCCGGTCTGTAAATCGGTCCCTGTGTATATTCTCTTCTATTCGTCTTCGTCTTTAAGTCCGTCTGCACGATCCCTTCTCGCGGATCTTCGCTGTTGCGCGAGTGTCTCAGTGCTTCGAGATAGCTGTCTCTTTTCCAGGCAGTCTTCGGGCCTTTGCTGGCCAGATAACGACTATCGACGATGTAAGATCCTCGAAAAGTCTCATTTTTCGCGATGGAGGGTTTCCGGAAAATGCTTTTACTACGTTCTTCAGAAGGTATCCGATTGCCGATTGTGGAAGTTACGAGAGAATTAACTTTTGTGTGCGCAACATCGTCGGAGTTGCTGAAATTAGCGATGATCGTCGCTTTAGTCGACAAAGGTGGACCAAGAACGAGATCCTTTCCCAAAATTATCGACGCCTCGGATTCTCTGGCTTCTATCTTCAAGGTCGATGCATCTGGTGTACCCTGATGATTCGGAGGCACAACTTCGTGCGATGAGACCAAAACGAGAGAGAGCAGAAAAATTCCTGCAAGCCAGCCAAGTCGATGCTTTCGTGTTTGATAATAAGACATCGTTTTGACCGTGAGTTATTATTGAAAAAGAATGAAAATCTGTAAGAAGAAAATATAAATAATTTTCTGAAATTACAAACTAAATCTTTATTGATACTTTATAGCTAATGCTATGCAATAGAAATAAAATATCTGGTAATGTTGTTCAATTACATATTTAAATACACATTTTGTACAATTAACAACAAACCAATTATTAGAATAATTATTAAAAATTGACAAGTATTCTTTATAAATCTATCTTTAAACAACGCGACGAATTATATATTTTTAGGTCTTAAAAATGAGTTTATGTGGAATCGATGTTATTTAATTTAATTAGAAAAAAATGGACAAGTAGTACAAACGAGTACGACATGAGATGCCTTCTAGATGAGTGCAAAAGATCCCTCTTGAATACGAAATGCAAGCAATTGCCGTGCATACTAAGTATATAGCGGTCTTCGCCCCTTTTCAGCGGTCATTTCAACAATGACCCTAATTTACGGATACAGAACGATAAAACAGCTGTAATTTGCAGCTCTACAACGAATAAATGTATCTTGCAGTATAATCTTATCATTATTGCTTTACATCTTTCACTATAAATTTTATTAAATCTAATATTTTTATAATATACAATTGTTAAATATTAACAGTTATATTTAAGTGATTATGCAAAGATAATAATAATAAAATTATTTTAATGAGATAAACAATTAGTATAAAGTAATGATGCAAAGCTAAATTAAATTGATGACTCTAAAATAATGAATTTTTAAATATATGTAATAATAAAACTTTGTTATTTTTTATTACAATATTAATAATAATAATTAATTTTTGTTTATATCCGAGAGAGTTCAAAATACTTGTTAAAGATTAAAAATAAGTAAGCAAAATTTACAATTAATGTAATCTTTTAATGAATATACATACGTTGACTAATTCCACTTAAAAATTTCCACTTTTGAGAATAATGGTGATTTTTAGCTGGTCATTTGTTCTTCAAGAATCTGAAGTGTTATGAATCTCTTCTTTATAAATCTGCTCATTCGCAACTCTCATTCACTTCCGCACTAAACACAGAAATCTATTCGAACAGAACGTTCTGACCGAATGGCAAGCTCACGAAGCTCTTGTCATCCTCTTAGTAGACACTCGCGTCGATCAACGCCCGTGAATAAAAAATCATGGCCTTCTCTTCCTCTATATATGTCGTTCGTATTCGGAAGGGGCACGAGGTTCATGTTATTGGGTTACTATTCCATCGTGCCCCTTTGACACTTCCATCACAACCGTCGATCGATCGCTGTCTGCCAACATTATTTTATTATTTCGTATCAGAAAAAAATGTTCTGATATTTTATGTTGCAAACAAATTCTGAATAATAAATAATTTTCTCATTATTACAATGAAACTGTTAATAAAATAGCATTATTATGCATTTATATATTTATTTTAAAAATAATAGATTTCTGATATTTTACTATCAATGACAAAATAAATAAATAAACATCTCTGATTTATCTTTTAAAGTAATTGCATAAGAAAGAAGGAAATTAAAAATCAGGAAAGGAAAAAAAGGAATTAAAAATCACATTTTTAAAATTTTTTATATCTATTTAAAGTGAAATATTCATGTTTCTGAGATTAATTATTTTTAAAATTGTTAAAAGCATTTATTGTTAGTAGAAATTCAAAGGTATAAGACCTATTATTATGTATTGGACGATGCAGTCTATAACGGTGTCACTATTTTTCGAGTCTCCTACAATACTTTGATCCGGTGGCATACTTTTAAATGGCATTAGTGGCATTCTTTTAGTGATTCTATTATCTTTCGGGGAAGTATGCAAATGTTTTGCTCGATGAAAGTCTTGACGTGTATGTTTGTCTATACTTCCTCGACAATCGAATACATGAGAAAAATGAATAAACATTCTGCTATATTATAGCTCTCTCTTGAAATAATCGTTTTTAATTTTTTTTAGAGTCAAACAAAGAGAGAAGTTAATTTTTTACGTAATTAACTTTATAAAAAGTATTTCTAGATTAATATTTATTAACAGCAAAATTAATTTATATTTATAATTTTTCATCAATCAACAAACGATTTATATAATTTTGTAAATTATAAAAATTATTTATTTTGCTATAAAAATATAGCAAACATAATACTTAGCTCTTTATGAATGCATTCGAAAAGAATGTTAAATGTAGTCTATATGGCCATCTGGATCGATACACCAGACTATCTGGGTCTCTGAGCAACCAAACACACTGGTTAGACGCGTGCAAGATTGACTTACCACACAAAAGTGAAATTTTAACTACAACAGTGCAAACAATAAGAATTTTCTAAAATACTCTAGCATTGAAAGAAAATGAATCTTTCAATAACCGAAACAAAGTGAGTTCTGTCTTTATATAAATGTAACACGGAAGTCAACTGCATTTTTTTATCATACACAATTGTTATTGCACAGGTGGGTAAAGTTTGGAAAACCTCATGACTTTGTTTTCATTGGAAAGGAAATCATTGCTACGGCTTCCGGTATTTACGTGAATTTTTTGGATCTGAATACAAGAGAAAAGCGAATCGAGCGTTTTGATAATAAGGAAAGGGGCGATGGCGCATCATGTTTGGCTGGACATCCGGTAATACAATTATAATGTTTATTTATTTAGATTATTAAATGTCTGAAAAATAGCAAATGTATCACTTTGTCATATATTTTTTTATCATATATATTTTTAATTTTGCAGACAGTTTCCATGTTTTCTGTGGTCGAAAGAAAATTTAATCCGAAAATATCGATATTTATGTACCCAACGCTACAAAGAATTTCCAGATGCGTGCTACCCGATCGAATTAATGGTTATTTATCCTGTTCTTTCGCTGGTACAGAATATCTCATAAGCCTGACTAACTTCCCTGATTTTCAATTGATTGTATGGCTCTGGAAAACCGGCAAGCACGTCGCTGTCCTTAACACGAAGATTAACGATCTCGTTCAAGAAATTTGGTATATAAAAACAAAAACGATATATAAACTTAATATCATTTTTATTTGTTCGAAAGTAGAATTAATAATTTTATTAGCTGTTCACCGAATTCTCCGTATTTGATATCACAACTCGGAATTGTCGACGGCACGCTCTCGATCTGTCAAGTACGCACGTGCTCGAAAATCGTGAGTATACATCACGTGGACGTGCCAGTTCCGGAACACAGAATTGTGTCTTCGTCCTGGACGCCGGAAGGAAACCTGTTTGTCTCGGACGAATTCGGTAATGTATGGCTCATGGCGATAGATGCTAATAAACTATACTCGGTGGTAAAATCGAAAACACTTGAATCACCGAAGAGCAGACCGATCGTCATCGCTCATAGGACTGGCGTAATAGTTGTGAATACTGATAGTGAAATTACAGTACGTATTGATTTGTTAAACTCTTATTTAATATAAATGGAAAATTAACAATATAATGGTCTGGTCTCTTTTAAAAAAGATTGAAACATATTTAACATTTTTTTTGTACAAAGGGATATATTAATTTTAATTCATATCTTTTTTCTATAAAAATATAATATTATTATTACATTTGTATAATTATTATAATATAATTATATTATATTGTTATTTACGTTTCAGTTTTATAAGAAATCGTTGGTAGACTGGAATGTGTCGTGGCAATTTGTATGGTCAATTTCGACTTTTCATTCCATTCAAGTAGGAAAGCAATATTGTTTCAAAGATGGAATTTTACTTCACTCAAAAAGCGGAGAGATTTTTGAAATAAATACGCAGTACGACAACGTTCCTCACATAGAAGTTATTTATACGGACGAGATAGAATACAAAGCACTATTTTCTATATCTCAACGCACAGATCACGTCGCAGCAATAGATCGATTAGATCGTCTTTGCATTTTCGAGGTATCGACTGGCAAACTGATTGGAAAATTATCTTTGAAACATCATGGTGAAGGTAAATTTAAATATATTATAGTATTTCTCTTTATGATCTAAGAGATCTAAGAGAATAATTATTCTAATATTCCATGGATATTCTATACTCTATGTAATAATTATTTATATAAAATGTTTATTATCTTTTTTAAAATAATACTAGACAACAGTGTAAAACTGATTCACCAAATTTCTATTATGTATATAATTTTAATTTTAATTAATCAAATTTCTATATATTATATGTACATAATTTTAATTCGCCGAAGTTCTATTGTATTAATTGAGAACTATTTTATTTATATATGTATCTCTTTATACATGTTTTTTTCTCGTTTTGTTTAGTTTAATCGAGTATAATTATATGTGCGCGAAACAAAATTATATTATTCTTTAATAATAAACCTTAAAAATTGCAACGCATGTATAAAAATTATTATTGAAATGCATATATAAATATATAGTTATTAATTATGTGATTCATATAAAAATTAAATATTTAAATTTTTACAGAAAACAAAAAAATAAAATTTTTTACAAGAATTTTTTGATCAAAATATCTACGCTTCCATTAAATTCATGTGTCTCTACGTTTCCGCTGCACGGCTTGCGTGAAACTGATCACGTGTTCAGCTCTTTTCATCAAATCAGATTAATATAACCCCTACATCTATTACGCTGCGCGGTTCGCGCGCGACTGGTTCCCGTGCGGGGTATTGCGAGCGCGGGACCGATGGTCACATGACCAATGATCACATGACCAGTGGTCACGTGATCATCGGTCCCACGGTCGCGATACCTCTCACGGGAATCAGTCGCGCGCGAACCGCGCAGCATGATGGATGTATGGGATGTAGACTTTTGTGCGAGTTTAATGAAAGCGTAGATATTTGATCACAAAAGATTCTTGTAGAAAATTTTATTTCTTTGTTCGTATTTTCTGTTAAAGATTTAAATATTGAATTTTTGCGTTGCATAATTAATTAATATATTTTTTATGCATTGATTGTAATAATAATTTTTGCATGCATGCGTCGCAATTTTTGAGATTTTATTATAATATTTATAAGCAGTTTTGTTAATACAATAGAAATAAGTAACAAGTAAAAATAATTGAGTCGACTTATAAATCAAACTCAGTTTTGTTATCATGTTTAATTATGATAGCAAATTATTGTTAGTATAGTAAACTGATAATAGAATACTAATACAAATTTAAGACATCAGTCAGACAATTTAATCAATCAGTATTGCGGAAAAACAACAATATTTGCGATAATCGACTTTGCATGCCTCTTTTAAAAAGGGATACATATAATTTATTCGATTTACTATTTTAATTATATTAATTTTATTCGATTTCTTTTATATATAGAATATTTTTCTCAGATTTTTGACAATTAATGGATATATTTATTAACTTAAATTATATGTCAATTCCAGTTGTTCGTGTAGATTCACATCCTACTTTACCAATACTTGCAGCATGTAGTGTTGCTGGCAATTGTATTTTTATCGATATTACATCATTACCTAAAATCATTAACTGTTTTCATCTTTATGGAGATTTCTTGGACAGAATAAAATTCTCGCACTATGGCGAACTTTTAGGAATTGGCAACTCTCAAACTGGCAAACTATTTATTATTGGCAAACAATTTAAACAACAGCCTGTGGATGTTCTTGGACTTGTAGAAATTGATGGACATGTAAGACAATTACTATATATACATATAATAATACAGAGATGTTAGCAATTATGTGATAAATTATACCTAAGAAATATTTTTAAATGTATAAATATATAAATGTATTTATATCTATAAATTTTTATAAAACATAAACGAAAAGAGTTTAATTTAACTTTGATTCAACTTTTCTCTCTTTTATAGATTGCTGACTTTCTGATATACAAAAGAAACAATAGTCGCTTCGAAATCTTAGTTCTCGCAACAACCAATCCTTCCATGGCTTCGATTGGTGGTAATAAAGCGATCATGTACACTTGCGAAATCTCGAATAATTTCTGCACACGTATTGTATGTACGGTAGATCTATCAAAACCTTACAGAATGTTTTATGGAACGAGTAAGCCTCTGAATATATTGGGTATACCCTCCTTATCTAAACAGTTACATCAAATGGAAATACAGGTATAAGTCGACTTACATTTCTGTTTTTACTTTTAACAAAAAAAAAGCAAAAAATGAATTATTTTTAATTGAATATAGATGTTTGTTATTTCAAAATATTCAAATTATATCGTACGATGCCAAAAGATCATTGCATAATCTTTATTTTAAAATTATTTTTACATTTTCCATTCTGATCTCGAAAAAAAGAACTTATCAAATTTTTGTCTCAGGACGATTTTCAAGAAGTTGTCCTCACAGAAGCACTCTTTTCGATGCATCAGATGAGGAATATCGGAATATATGTGACTGATTCTCGAGTCTTAACATATGGATACGATGGCTTAATTGTAGTCAGAGATAGCATGGAACTTCGCAAAGTGATTGCGATTTTTATGCCACACCATCGCAGTAAAGGGGGTATAAAGTATGCAATTTCTTCACGCTTTGGCGAAACAATGGTTTCCCTCGGTAGAAATGGAGATATCGTTGCTACTCGAGTTCGGTATTTAATTTTTGTTTCTTATACAATCGTATTTTTAAATTACTGAAAAAATGCAAATACATATAATTTATTTTAATTATGCGAACAGTTTACAAGAACCGGAAATAAAAACAAATTTGGCAGAAAGTAGAGATGCGAATATACATTTATCGATTGAAGACTTCGTTTCCGGTCCAAATAAACTGTACAGTTTAACAGAAGAAACCTGGTTGGACAATGTAATCGCTGCTAAGCTGAAAGCTGAACGAGACGAAGCTCTACTCCTACGAGCTTCCATCATAACTGATTTGGAGAAAATAAAGAATCAGGTATATAATGTCTTCTTTTCTCGGAATTTAATACTTTGAAGTTAAGATATATTTATGGTCTTAAGTAATTTTAACAGATACGCGAACTTCTCGATATAAATGAGAGCAAACCACCAAATGCTCGATTGCCGATTTCGGCTTTTGATTTAGATCGCAAAGCTCGGCTGCAAAAAATAGAAGAGGCGCGACTTGAACGAGACGAAATGCGTCAAAAACTCGAAGAAGAATGCGTTCAACGAGATCAAATAGCATCGTATATCCGCGAATTATTCTGGGATCCGCTACAAGTAAAACCATGTGCAATTAAAACTATCGGAGGTGATACAATAGTTTATAATTATCCCCTCGTCGCATCGACTCGGAGAATGAATGACTTTAAAATATGGGATAGGCTCTCTTCGGATGCTGACGAGTTTTTGTACAGGTGTCGCGCGTTTTTTTTCTATACTGCTTTTTCTTAAAATTTTTTATATACATTTTACTAAAATATTCATTTGTTCAGTTTTTTTATACTTGAAATATTTTTTGAAATTTAATAATAATGTAAGATATATATAGTCACAAAATATGTAAACATGAAAAATAACAATATTTTTAGTTACGAGGTGTATAATAAGTCAGTAGATGAAGAAGACGATTCAAGACGAGGATCCGTAGCATTCGATTCTGATAAAGAATCCTCGACGAATAGTTATGATGAAATCAAAATATACGAGATAGCTCAAACATGGTATTCACTGGCGGATGAAGATGAAAGATTATGTATATCAGGTATTATGACGCATAAATGGATTGATGATGAAAGCATAACTTCAACGCATCAGCTGTTATTTCCTCGTGACAGTAATCTTAAAACTATTCTCGAAAAAGATACTATCATCGAAAATCGAGAACGTAAATTAAAGGTGACATTTATGACAAATCTATTTTTTTAATTTATATTATTATATGTTATACCGAAAACACAATAATACTCAATCACATTTATGATTTAAAAAAATTATACGATATAGAAATTATTTTCTTAGTTTCTCATTAATGCAAGTATTAAAATTATTCTAAAATATTTATAAATTAAAACTTTCTGTCAAACAGATGTATTTTAATGATCTTTTCGAAGAAATAAGACGCGCGAAAGAACGTGAATTAAAATGTACAAAGGACCGCATCGATAGACTTCGATATTGCGCTTCCGAGTTAAAGACAATGTTCGGAATAGATTCCGCTCTAGAACCAATCGATACACCGACGTGGAATGTCGAAGAGATACCCGATTATATAGTCACTGTAAAAGATCACGAGATATTTGAAAAACAGTCACAGCGAGGAGAATCTGAAATTGTGATGGTTGATAAGAATCCAAAAAATGAAGAAGAAAACAGAAGAAACAGTGATTTTTATGAGATAGCTCTCGAAAAGATGATGGATGGTGTATTAGAATCAAAGTGAGTTGAGTCAAAATTGACAAATAATTGCGTAAAAAAAATGATACGAGTAATATCTTGAATTTTTATTAATTAAAATCGAAACGTGTATTTCAAAATTAAAAATTCAGTATTTTATTCAAGATGGGAAGACGAAGTTAAAAAAGAAATACCTGTACCTAAATGCCTAATCGTAAAAGATCCTTCGAAATATACCGATGAAGACATCGCAGTTATCGCGTCGTACAAATCCAAAGTGCAAACGTTGAAAGAAGAACGAGAAAAATATAAAGCAACGCTGCATACGGAGATCGTCGAGACGAAAGGTCAGTCAGAAGCACACACACAAAAATGTATAAAACAATCGCATTTATTAAAATAAAATAATTTCTTTTAAAAATAATCTCCAGACCTTTTTTTACTGATTTTTTTTTCATCATAATCATATAATATATGCGCATTTCAGAAGCCTTACAGAGAGACGTCGCGGAATTCAACGACAAGTTAAAGGATCTTGAATTGAAAAAGATACAAATTGAATGCGCGATCTTGCAGGAGAGATTGATGAGGATACGCACGATCCGGAGACACCGGTCCGAGGTCGAAGGCAGACAAAAAATCGTCCGTTTCACTGAGGACGAACTGGCACCGGCAACGCGAGAGGCCCGCAAACTCGTCGAGGAATGCAACTCGCTCGAGGTAGTCGTGGCGGAGTTGAAGTCTCGTTACGACAATCTCATCAAGGCGGAGAAACGTCAGGAGGCCAAGTTCCGCAGCGAATTCGCGGACTTAAAGCAGCCGCTGGTGGAACACTTGCTCAGGCATTACAAGAAGCGACCCAGGACAGGTCGCCTCATCACCACGTCCGTCACGTATCTGACGGAAGTAGCGAGATGCGTCGCGGCCAGCGAGTTGTCGGAGATCTTACCGCGCGAATGCCTGGACTTCCTCAGAGGCATGGATGCGTTGGATACGATGCCCAGAAACCTGCCGTCGCAGATTAACGTCAATCACTGGCGAACGATGTGTAAGCTGAGAAGAGCGAAGGTCGAGACCGAAACGAAGGTGAAGTTGAAGATGCAGAAAGCAATTTATTTATATTCAAATTTCACGGTCTTATAATAATTGTATTATATTTTTAATTTATTATAATTAAAAAATAAGAAATACCTCAAGAATATTCGAAAAATCTAAAATAAAGAGACGCGTTCCTTTTTCATGTTATTAAAGAAATAGAAGATCATAACGTTACCAAAAATGTGAATGTCGGTATTAAAGGTGAGATGCTGCGCGGTAGAGATAGCCGAGGCGGAAGAAACGTTGTCGTTTTATCAAAAAGCGGTGCAATTAGCTGACAACGTCGTTGTCTGCAAGAAGGCCTATCTGGAGAACATAGAGAAGTCCTTGATGCAACGTGCTGAGAAAATGGAGATTCAGCTTGTCCTGAAAATGGGCCAGATCGAGGTGCCTCTGCAAGGTTGTCCATCCGACTACAAGAACGCCGTTCTTGTCCCGCGCAAAGAACTCTTGCGTGTCAACGATTGTATCCTCGAAGCTGGAAAACGCAAACTGGCGGCGATGCACAAATCCATGCACTTGCGAAAGGTCGTATTGCAACAGGAATGGGAGCATAAACGCGCGAAGATGGTACTGGACGATTTGCAGCAGGAGCTGAAAGATGTTGCAGAGTTCAAGGTTTTTATTTCTCTCATTCAGTCATTTAATATTTCGAAAATAGAGTATATAATAAATGCCTACTTGTTTCAGATCACGAGAAACGTCCTTGAATTTTTGACCCGTGATCTCTGCAGTGTAAATCTGGAAAAAGATTACGAAAAGATACAAGTCAATTTGCAAATATTTCGAAACGTGAGTATCTATCATCATTATTCCATTGTATAGATGACCGAATTTAAAATGTGTTTCAGAAATTTCGCGAGCTGTTATCACTGGAACAGGCGTCTTTGAAGGAAACGAAGCGAGTGACAGCTAAATGGAAGAAGAAGAACGATAAGATGTCAAAGGAGATCAAATCTAAGTCGTCGGACGTTGAAGTGTTTCGAGGGTTGCTTAACGATCCGTGTCGCAAGAAAGACGAAGAGTCTCGTAAGATGAGACTTGTTACGATCGCGAGACGTACCAAACTTATCATAAAAGCGGAGAACAATTACGAGCAGCTGCTAACCTTACACGCTCGTCTAGAAGTCTTAAAGTTGCGAACGTATCCGACCTTACAGTTTAAAACCGCATAATAAAACCGCATAAGATTTATATGAGGAAAAAGATTGTCGGTTTTTTTTACAAAATAGTGATGGTTGAAAATTTCTCGGTATTAATTTAATAAAACTGTTTCTTCTCCTACTAATAATAAACATATGTATTATTTATATCACGTGTATCGCACAAGCGTAAAGGTAGGTGTGAGAAAGAGAGATGCGTCAGACACTTCTTTAATTAATCGTCTTGCTCAATTGCAAATTCACATTTCCTTCTTCGTACGATAATGGGATAATTAAAACTTCGATCACGTTTATTACTAATACTTACATATATTTATTCCGATCTCGATCCTCCGCGTGCAATAAAGGAAAATTGCTGATTCCAAGAAGAGAATAAGGAAAGTATATAATGTTACTGTCATCATTATTTCATACTAACGTCTAAACATTTCTTGATAACTTGAAGACAAAAAGAAATATGTTAAGCCATGCTGCATTTAAAAATATGATTTTTTCTTTGTCAGAAAACTACAAAGAAATATTTTAATTGTCTCAAAATTAATTTTAAAAATATGTTATAATAATATTATCTGTCTCCTACATACTTCAAAATTTTATAAAATACTTTGAATTTTTAGTAAAACTCTTAGCTGAAATAGAAGCAGCATATCTTGTTTTATATTTCAGTATTTTATACTTTATCGTGTTTATTCGCGTCTGAATATGTTGTCACTGCTGACTATATAATTTTTTTCTAAAAAAAAGTCGCTATCACAGTAAAAACATATGATTAAAATAGATTATAATTTTTTACGGAGAATATTGTATTTAGCGATTACGATATCTGCTATAAAATAAATTACGATAGATGTTACTGTTTGGAGAGACTAATGTTGGAATTTCCGTCTATTAGTAATAAAGTTCGTGATAAATTATTTGTGTTGTGTTATGTGATCCATAATACTTTTTCTTCTGACGGTTCATCACTTATCACGAAAAATATTTATGTCCGTATTTCAGCACGTGCCAGATACCTACAAGTAATGAACTATGATATTACATACAAAAATCGTTAATCAGACACACTTTCTATATTTCAACGTCTACGTTTGTTTTTTTTTTTTTTTTTTTGCAAGCTGAAATAATCCATCAATAATCAAGAAAAATCGATCACCTTCAGCGCATTTATTTATTCGATTGATATTTTTTAACATTAATGCTTATGATAATCTTTATAAATCGTTTCCTAGTTGTGAAAATAATATTACTTCATTGTCATGAAAATTAATAAGAAAAATGATATAAATATAATGATTAGGATAATCAAAGAAAATTTTTTTTTATATTATTAATTACTATTAAATTCTAATAATCACTTGTTATATAAATGTAATGCGATATTTTGTTTTGTAGACAATAAATAAATCTATAATATGTTGATAAGAATTATTTTTTCAAAGATTATTCTATATGAATACAAAACAACAATATGTATCACGACACCGCCCGTCTCTTATCAAATATTCTCATATTTATATTGAGTTCATTGCATACTTATCGAACGCTGTTTGTAACGGCGAGCATAAGTATACCCTCGGCTTATTTGTTCAGCTTGCGATCTTTCAATGATAGAGGAAAGAAGAGAGAGCTATAAAATGATCGCGTGACCCCAACAGGGGAAATTACCGCCGGTACTTCTCTCGTGTGTCAACAAAGGTCTACATATGTTAACACATGCGATATGCGTATCGCGTACGTGTGCCGCATCGCAAGAGCAATCGCATCGAAGGACACGCGGAATCGTCGGACATAGCCGAGGATATGGGTCTGTTAAACTTGAAAACACACGGATGAAGATTGGATCGGCGGAAAAAAATCGTCTGAAGAATTTTTTCCATGATGCTACCAGCGAGGAAAGCCTGTAAAGTCACCAAGAATGTTAATGACCGCGGCTGCTACGAGTCCGGCGATGAATTTAACGATGTTTAGCTCTTATATATCTGATAATAAACTTATTTTATAGATGACATATTTCAAAAACTTTATATAATTTCTCCTCTGCCACGCTATTATCCTTTTCATGACATCTGATGAGAGATGTGAAGATTTGTTGATAATTAAACTTTAAATTAAAACTTCCTCTGTTAAATTAATGTCTTTAAGATATCTCCTGTCCCAATTTTGGACATGTTTCGATTTTGGTGCCATTTGGACTATTATCTAATTAATTTTTCAATTTCTAATGAATTGTTTTAATTGTTTATGAATTAAAAAGTTTTATAATTAAATTTGTATATTTGCATATAAAACAAAAATTATCACAATTTTTATTCGTATAATAATTGTTATTGAATGTTTTGTATATTGATAAAAAAACTTGTAGTTGCAGTTGTATCTTGTAGTCAATATTTTTATGATAAAAATTAAAAACGAAAAATATGTTTTTCTCTTCGCGCGACAAGACATGGAAAGTGCCATTGCCGCAGGAGAGGCGAAGAATCGAATAAATAATGACGACGATGTCATTACGCGAAATAAACTGAAAGAGAGAGAATGACAGGAATCGCTAAACTCAAGAGGAAAAGAGATAAAGGGGAAAGAGTAAAACTCCCCTCTCCAGACTCCGAGATCCGAAGAAGAAAAAGACGCATCTATAAAAGAACGTACGTAGATCGCTTCTCTCGACGGTCTCGACAAGTTGTCGTCGAAGACACCATCTGTACCAGGTTCCTCTTCTTCTTTGCTTCACATTTTCGGTCCATACTTGTCTTGCGTTTTTTGGAGGTAAAAATTGCACGATACCGTAATCAGCGTGGTGCAGTAATCAAGATGCTGCACAGATTCGCGGTGTTCGCGATCTTCGCGATGGTGGCTGTATCCGCCACGAGTCCGCCACGAGTGCGTAAGTATTTCACGAAGCTCCGACAATCGATTCATAAAAATGAAGGAAAATTATTAGAATCACTTATTGAAAAGCAAATGTAACACGATGTACAAAAATTAATTATAATTTTTTCTAATTGTGTAAGTTTGTGAATTTAAAAGTACACAACATTATCAACAAGATATTCATAAAGAATAATGAAAACTATTTCTACATTTTTATGTTGATCTATAGAAAATTAAAGTGAATAAATTACATCAGTTTAATTATAGCAGTTTCAGTATCCTAATCTCAGGGATTTTAAGTTTAAAATCTCGAATAATATTCTTTCTATCTTGTTAAAATCTCGAGTCTGATCAACAAGGTTTCAAGTGTATTTAGATGTGCATCTGATAAAAATTTTATTGAATCATTAACTTGATTTTTTATGAAGCATGTTTTATTATGCGTACAGTTACGATGTGCATCCCAGTGAAGTATGCGAAGGAATGCGAGAAGATGATGGAGGATTCGGCCAGCAAAGGCATTCTGATATCGTGTATTTCCGGTCGCGATCGATACGACTGTATTGAGAGGGTTGGCAAAAGGGAAGCTGACATCGTTGCCGTGGATCCTGAAGATATGTATCTCGCGGCGAAGAATCATTTAGCTGGAAAAAACGGATACAGTGTCGTTGAACAGGTAATTAGAGATAACTTGAATTATTCAAAAATTATATTTCTAGTTTTAATGAATGAGAAAAATAAATCTAAAATAAATTCGAGTTGCAATAAGAGATCAAAAATAAATGTAATAGAATGTATGGATGCGTCAAAAGATTTAATATTTTATATTTGATAAAATATTATTTATAAAATAAGAAATAATTATAGAAGAAAATTATATAACAATTAATATAACTAAATATAAGAAGTAATTATAGAAGAAAATTATATAACAATCAATATAACTAAATACGTATTGTGTAAGAGTATATTTTAGAGAAAAATTACTTTGAATATATTTACCTTAAAAAAATCTAAGATTATCATTCGCTGGTTTAAGATTTCTCGTACGTATTTCACGCTCTCTCGAGAATGGGATATATTTTTTAAGCGGGATGAATAATGTATGACGTGAATTCCTTCTTTTTGTACTTGTGCTATCAGGTGAGAACGAAGGAGGAACCCGACGCGACGTATCGTTATGAGGCGGTAGCTGTCATACACAAGGATCTGAACATTAACAACGTTCAAGGCCTGAGGGGTCTTAAGTCCTGCCATACAGGCGTGGGCCGTAATGTCGGTTACAAGATTCCCATCACGAAACTCACTGCTATGGGTGTGCTGACCGATATCAACAACCCGGAATATTCCGCTCGCGAGAATGAGCTTCGTGCTTTGAGCACGCTCTTCAACAAAGGCTGTCTGGTGGGCAGGTGGTCGCCCGATCCCGAGATCAATCAGAGACTCAGTAAGTGGCAGCAATCTACGGAATTTGCATCAATTATGTCCTATAAACGAACTGCCAGTAAACAATATTGTTAACTGTGAAATAACAGGTATAAATCGACTCGCTGTTATCTTTTTTTTTTTACACAAAATAATTTTAATTCTATATCTCATATTTATATCGAGATAAAATTATAATAGCATACACATTGATGCAAATAAGTAGAAATAATTGTATTGCATATCTTTTTTCAAATGTTCATTTTTTCTGATAAAATTTGTTAATATTTTTTTCTTTATTTAGATACACTCACTCCAAAAAACCGGTACACTTAAAGTTTGGAAAAAATCATCAAATTTCAAATGACGATAACTTCGTAAATAATTGTGATAGAAAGGTTTCTCATCATTTAAAATTTCGTAATTTTCATCACTTAAAATTCCGTAATTTTTTTTCAAATTTTAAGTGTACCACTTTTTTGGAGTAAGTGTATTTCGAAAATATCTTACCAAGACATGTATCGCTATTCTCATTATATCTTTTTCCAGAGGAGACATACAGTAATATGTGTGCTCTTTGCGAGAAACCAGACGTGTGCGATTATCCAGACATATATTCCGGATACGAGGGCGCGTTGCGCTGTCTGGCTCACAACGGCGGTGATGTTGCCTTTACGAAAGTCATCTACGTGAAGCGCTTCTTCGGCTTGCCCGTTGGGGTCACCCCGGCGGTGCCGACACCCGAAAATCCGGCTGAGTTCCGATACTTCTGTCCGGACGGTAGCAAAGTACCCATTGACGCCCATACGAAACCGTGCACATGGGCCGCCCGACCTTGGCAAGGATACATGATCAACGGGGATGATGTTCCGAACGCGATAACTATTCAGAGAGTGCGTGAGATTTATTTCTTAAGAGCTTATATTAAACGACATATTGAATGTTGTATAAAGATGTAAAAAAATATTTATATTCACATGATATTTTACTAATTGGAAGATGTAATTTTAATCTGATAAGCATAATGAAAGAGACAAGAAATTTACAAGAATTTATCATTGTAACAAATATGACAGATAAATTACTCATATCATATATTAAGGAGAAAATTATAGATTTAATTTAAATAATTTCTTTAATTTCAAAACGTTTTAGGAACTAACGGAACTAGGTCAGCTTGGCGAGACCGAGAAGGCAGATTGGTGGAAGGATCTCATGTTGCTTGACGAGAAAACCTTGGCTGTCGCCGCGCCACCAATATCTCCGGAAGAGCATCTGAAAAGCGCAAAATATATGGATGTGATCGAAAGAAATTCCGGAGCTCCGGAGAGGAATGCTCGTTGGTGCGTTTGGAGTCAAAGTGCGCTGGACAAGTGTCGCAGTCTCGCTAAAGCCGCATTCTCCAGGTAATTGCGCATAGAATATATATCCATTTTTTTCTTTTCCATCAGAGAAGAGACTTTGCTTTAAAATAAAAATTAATTTATTATTCACTAATAATTATTAACGTGAAAATTAAACTTTTTTTTGTCAATAAAGCACCACAAATGTAAATATACTATAAATGATAAAACTATAATTACCGTAATGGAAACTTCAGATTTAACTATCAACGCATTTGTTGTTAACAAAAAGTGGTAGATGCTCGTACTTTATGTTATAATTTCTATAGAGATGCCAGACCTAGATTTGACTGCATACTGGAACAGGATGAGATTGCTTGCTTGAAGGCTGTCAGGGATAACGGAGCGGACATAACTGTGATCGATGGCGGATCGGTGAAATTGGCAATCGACAATTATAATGCAAAACCGATCGTCGCTGAGACTTACGGCGAGGGATCAACGCAAGTCAACGAAAGACCGGCAGTCGCTGTTGTGAAGAGCGGTTCTTCTATAAATGGATTAGGTATACGAATTTGCGTATTTCAAATTTAAACATTTCGATCAAACCTCCGCATCTGCTCTGAAACAAGATTTTAAAATATATTCAATTTTGAAAATGAGAATTAGAATTTATTTATCTTAGAACTGAGACAAATTATAAAAGATATTAACAATATTTTTTATAGATAAACATTTAAAAAAATATATGTAAATTGCAAACAATTAAAAACAAGTTTGTAGAAAGAATCGTGTTTAAAGAAGCTTTTTACAAGTTTTCGTTATGAATTACCGTCAATAATTTCCTTTTCCAGAGGATCTCAGAGGCAAGAAATCTTGTCACAGCGGCTACGTGGGTGATTTCGCTGGTTATTCCGCACCGGCTCATATTCTTAAACAAAAGGGGCTTATTAATGAACCGGGAGAGATGGATGCCTTCTTCTCCGAGTCTTGTGCACCTGGCGCACCTCTCCAGTCCAAGTCTTGTCAATTATGCGTCGGCAATATCAAATCTGGTGACGATCAAGTGAAAGAAGCCACGAAATGCAGACCTACGAATGCGGAATATTACAATGGCGGAAAAGGAGCACTCAGGTAATTTTATATAAATCTTCATCGATAGTACGTGACAATATTTTCAGCTAAATTGTAGAAATAAATTCTACACACATGACCCTTCTTCTCAGAATAAAATTCATTATGTAAAATTCTTTTTTATAATTCGATAATAAAAATGTATATCTTTTGTCTATGAGACTTTATATTAGCTTCTATAAAAATGTAATTTGCATCTTATTCTTTCATAGATGTTTGAAGGATGGTAAAGGAGATGTTGCATTCCTACCTTTAACGTCTTTGAAGCAGCTCGGTGAGTATAATAAATTATATATGTGTATATAGTGAGTATAATAAATTATATTTGATTATATTCAATTATTTGCTATTTCATAAACATATATCATATTTTAGATAACGAGAAGGACGATGCAGGCAAACAGGAAGACTATGCCTTGCTTTGCCCGAATGGTGGTCAGGTGCCTATCAAAGAATGGGAGCGTTGTAATTTAGGCTTAGAGCCACCAAGGATAATTGTCAGTTCGGCCGAGAAGACCCCGAATGCCTTGGAAGAATTGAAACATGGCATTTTAGCCGCGAGCACTTTATATTCGAAGCAACCGCATCTGTTGCGTCTTTTCGGCGCCTGGGATGATAAGCGCAATGTATTATTCAAGGTAAGAAGATTAACATTATCTTTATTTAACTTTAAATTTTTTAATTTCCCCTATTAGATTTTAATTTTCGTTATTTAGTTTGAAGTTTAATTAACAGCTTTCCGCTGGTTTGGATTTTTTATTCATATTAACTATATTGAAAAAAATTAGATATTAAATATCATATAATTATTAAATGGCACTTGTAAATATATTAATTGATTAAGATGAATATAAATATATTAGTTGATTAATCTCATTATTAATAATATATGAAAATAATACAATAAAGTATCAATTAATTATAAAAATATTTTTCCTATGTAAATCGAAAGAGAAAGAGAGAGAGAGAGAGCTTAATCGTTATAATATTATAAAATAATTAAAAATGTTTATACATCTTTTTTCACAAGAAAATATCGTCTTTCAAATGATGAGACAATTGCATATAATTTTAATTTTAAAAAATTGTATAGCTGTATATTTTTTAAAGACATATTACACATTCTCTTTAGGACAACGTGAAAGAATTGTTATCCACTGATAACTCATGGGACAATAAGTGGGATACTTGGGCAAGTATTCAACGGGACTACGGAAATCATTAAATTTTCGCACTCGAAAATTTTAACAGCATCTGATTGCTTACGATGGATGTCGTACTATATATGTGATATTATTATTGCTGAGAAATTATCATTATTAGGTTATATATCAATGACTCGTATAGAGAACTGTTAGATAAATAAATACTGTTACAGTCGATGACCTCATTTATGTTTATGCAAATTGACATATTATCGCGATAGAGATAATACATTTTAAAATATCGACATTAACATAAGAAATCATGATTTTCTTCAATTGTCAATAATAAAAAAATATATATTTTTCCGAACATACAATGCATAAAATTTTACAATAATTTTTAAAACTAAAATAAATTTTAACACTTTTAAAAATAAATATTAAAATAGAAATGTTTGTAGGCATTTTTATATATTTTATTTTAGCCGTGTATAAGAGAAAGGAAAACGAGAGAGACGTTGATTTATTTTATTTATATTTTCGTCTACTTGTCCTTCGATCGGTTTAATTTTTAATGTGTTGTTACATTTTTATTTATTTGTGCGACCGTAAGCCGAATCTCTCTCGTTCGCCAAAGTTATTGTTTTTCGCGAAGACTAAAAACGATTTAAGCTGTTTAAATGAAAACTGCTCTGATTGGTCCTATACTTTGGGGTGGGAATACTTTGTGGACAACGCGTATAAAAATGGGGATCTTCGAGAGAAAAGAGATCATAATTATAGTCATCTCTGGCGGCGTTAACCACAGCGAAATCTCCGACGTCTGTAACGACTCTACGATATATATATAGAGGATCGCAATAAATACATTTTTAACTGGAACATAATACATATATATATCACTAATCCTTAATCCACATCCTGATTAAAATTAATAACCCGAGCGATATCCATCTGTGTGGAATCTGAGGACCGAGCACCCGTCGACGACGATATAAAAGGCCATCTTAGGCGCCAACATGTTAATAAACTTTCGGTTATTTTTAGCTAAAAGTTTATTCTTTTGACATTTCAGGGTAGAATAGATAATTTCATTTATCATATTTTAAAAATTATACAAAATGATTATGTTGACTCACTTTGTATAATATATTATAATATATTATAACATATTATAATATATTATACAAAGTGTCCGATTTTGTTCTCGATAAAATGAAGAAAGCTTTAAATTCAGTTAAAATTTAAGAGAAGTATTTTTTTGTATAATATATTATACAAAGTGAGTCAACTTAACTTAATCATCTTGTATAATTTTTAAAATATGATAAATGAAATTATCTATTCTACCCTGAAATGTCAAAAGAATAAACTTTTAGCTAAAAATACACAGATACAAAGAGAAGTACTTTTTGTGGAAAGCGTCAAAAAATTGTAACGGAACCATTTTTAAATAATAGTTTAAGTATTTTTTTAATTAAAAATAAATAAATTAAAATTTTTTATTATAAATAAAATACGCAAGATATACAAAATACAAACACATATAAGATATAAAAAACTTGTAATTAAGAAAGAAATCTTCCGAAAAAACAAATTCGTGTTATCTTCTGTTAATTTTTAAAAAATTGTATAATGTTAAATTAATTTTATATTAATTTTATATTAATTTTATATATATGTTGCTTTTAAAATATTTAAATATAATTAAAAAAATCTTTTAAAAATGTTATAGTATTAATAGTATTATAAAATTAATTTAATATTATAAAAATTATTTTATAATGTAAAAATTAACGAAATCTAACACAGTTTTGTTTTTTAGAAAATTTCTTTCTTCTATTTTTGTTACCTATATGTAACCTATATGTGTTTGTATTTTGTATATTTGCTATTTTATTTATAGTAAAAAATTTTAATTAATTTATTTTTAACTAAAAAAGTACTTAAACTATTATTTAAAAATGTTTCCATTACAATTTTATAAGGCTTTCCACAAAAAAATACGTTCTCTTATATTTTATTAACAGAATTTAAAGCTTTCTTCATTTTATTGAGGACAAAATCGGACACTTTACCGTATTTACTGCGCAAATATTTTTTATAAACTTGAGTTGCACCAAATTTATTTAAAGTCAACGCTTGTTGTATTATAATCTGTTTTATAAAACTCAAATTTCTTTGTTCCCATCTGAAAAAAAACATTCCGAATTAATACAAATAATTTGCAAAATTTAAAATTAATTCTTTCAGAAAACGTGTCATTATTTTCTAGATTACAAAAATAATACATTATTCTTTTATTTAAGTTATTCTTATAATTTTTTTCAATAATTATTCTTTACAATTTCTTGCTTGATGATATATTTATTACAATAATAAACCTGACTATTTAAAAAGTGTTTGTGATTAAAGATTTATGTCTTGTTCTTTCGTGATATGATAAAAATCTTAAATCCTTTATAAGCAAGATGTAACTATTGTAGTGCATCTGTTTGAGATAAAAGAAAGATTTATTTAATCGCCAATTTACTTACTCTGTGAGCAACAATTTATTTCTCCATTCTTGGTAATTCCATGCGTAATTCAAATTAATAATGTCATTCGAATATATAAAACAAAGCGATAACTCTGCCGCCATTACGCACAGAACACATACTGACGTATCACTTAACTTTTCATCCAGCATGGATATATCGAGCTATAATATAAGAAATAAATTACTTATTTATCTGCAGATATAATAATTTACAATAAAAATTAAATTGTATATCTCTGTGTGTGTTCGCGTACCAAGTAACTACCACAAAAATAGATGCGTGGAACATCATTCAGATTAATATTACATTTGCCACTTCGTACCACATCTAATAAGTAATAGCAAAGTAAACTAAAAGGATCGCCGAATCGTAAGTTGAATTCAACAGCATAGAGAATCTTCTTCTCATACATTAATAAATCTTTCTCTCGATTTATATATAAATCCTTCGCTAATTGCAGTACCGTAGTTACCTAAGCAAATACAAAATATATAATAAATTTATATTAAAATTACTATTGAATTATTTAATAACAGAAGAATAGTCTTCCTCATCGAATATTTTCTCTGATTAAAAAGTTTTATTACCGATGGCATTTTATGACTAGTTACTTCTCGTTTGAGAGTTATCCATAGACACGTTAAGGCTAATAATTGGATATCATTCGTATCTACCAAAATTCTGTCAATGGTGACATCGAATAACTTGACAGTCTGATATATGAGATTAGATGAGTATTCGCAATGCACCTACAAAATTGCCATAATCATAAAAGTCATAATCAAAGTTCAATACAATTTAAATTCAAGTTTTTATTTTAATTTCCAACGCGTTAACGAGATAAAAAAATCTAGTATTAGTCATTAATTGTCTATTTTTGTCATTGTTTCGTAATTGATAGACATAAAAAATTATTTTTATACGTTTATAACAAAACATGAGTTCACCAAAATTATATATGCTCCTTTAGTTCTTTATTTGTGCATAAACGTGAAATATTTATATCCGTAATTAAACTATATACTTACTCCAAGACGAATCAAATATCCTACGATGACATTTCTTTGACTTGCGTTTACATCTTGTTTTAGAAAACGAAAAGACAATTTGGGAGCATTGTCCTCCCTTTTGCGTTCCATGTACGGCACGTCGTCAAAGTAAGCATGCTCAAATGAATGAATATCATTGAAGACTTCTATATCAGTCGATAATTTGCATGTCACTTCGCGTTTCACATAACGTACCTTTCACCAACAAATATTTTTACAAATATTATAACAAATAAATGAATTAAAATGCTTCATAATCCAATTCACCTTATACAATTCTTACATATACTTGTACAACATTTTATTTTAAAAGTCTGATACGTATATATCAAACTAAAATCGAAATAAAATTAATATAATAATCTATACATTAATATTAAATATCAATGCATGTACATTTTTGTGTTTGTTTTACAAATTATATTTTATATTACCTTGGTTGGAGTTAATGGTAAGCTCGAAGGACCATCTAAGGGTGTTGCGGAAGTTGTCGAACTAATCAATGTGTTATTCGGTTGAACATTTCCAGCAATACTGTTTCGTAACAATTCAAAGTATCGTAAAGAAATTTTTCAATTATCGCAATTATAGTTCTAATTAATCAATTGATATAGACATTATGTTTTGTGATGACATAATAATTAATTCATAATTGAATAATTAAAAAACAAAAAAAGATACGAAGGCTCTAGTATTAATTATCTAAAATACTAACGCGCTAAAATTAATTAAAATTGTTTTTGAATTAAAAATTTAATGTAACACTAGTAAAATACGGATCAATTCCTATTTGCTATTAATGAATATCTATTTTATTATACAAATTGTTTTTGTTATGGCTTACTTGGAATTCATATCAAATTGCGGATATAATAAATTATTATCTTGCAGAATTGGCACAAATTCATTTGGTAAATGCTTAATTACAGTTCCCCAAGAATGTATCGTCTTGACATTTTCATTTTCATTTTTATTTTTGGGCTTAATTTGGTCTATCTTGGATTGAAGATTCAATCTTTGAGGCTCTAGAACGAATTCAACACTCTTTCGCTGCTTGATTTTAGTATGTGTTTTATGTACATTGGGATATTTGTTTGCCAAGTTTTTAGGCACAGCACCTGAAAAAATTGTACGAGTAAAAAATGTTTTCTCATATAAATCTTTTCGCGTATTTATAAATTATTTTGCTTTCGGAGCAAGATCAGGATAAAACACACACAATCGGTTATAACACATATTACGATATAAATCTTTTCAAGATACTAACCGTATGACTTCCTCATTTTGTCCTTCCACATTTCAATACTCGTAAGTGTTCGTTTTTTAACTTCAGCGGAAAGATGTTTAGATTTTAAGCGTGTAGGAGTATGTGACGATGCTGCTGCAACGCATTGTGCGTACTGTGGAGGAATTTTTCTAGTTTCGGAGCACGATCTATGGACAAAAAATCGGTTAACATTACAATAAATCAAATTAGGCAGGAATTGATTGACCAACACCGGCAAAGTTTAAATTTCTTTTATTAGAAAAGAAACGACGTTTCGACCATCAATTAGGTCCTCTTCAGGCTATAAAAATTACATAATACATTTCGGTAATACAATAAAATAAAAACAGCTGTGTTACAACTGACAGTTACCTGATCATTCGTTGATTGGAATATGTATTTTAATTCAATAGGTATTTACGTATATCTTATTATAATTTTGAGTTCTCTTATACATCGATTATTCACTAATATTTTTATTATTGTTTTTATTTTATTGTATTACCAAAATGTATTATGTAATTTTTATAGCCTGAAGAGGACCTAATTGATGGTCGAAACGTCGTTTCTTTTCTAATAAAAGAAATTTAAACTTTGCCGGTGTTGTTCAATCAATTCCTGCCTAATTTGGTTTTTTAAAAATTTAACTGGCGATCATATCACGTTTTTCTTGTTAATTACAATAAATATCGCTTGTATGATAAATAAATATATTTTAATATTTTTATACTTGTTTTTGTTTATTTATAATATTTTTTACTTTGTATTTTTTCTAGATAAAATAATTCTTAAATAAATTATATATACATTTATTTAAAAAATAATTTACATTACCTCTGAAATAATTTATTGTTCATGTTGTTATTATCTATAGAAACTTTGCTTCGATAGTTGCTTGAAGAACGTGCTCTACAAAAAATAAAATAAACTTTTTAGCACACATACGACTTTATTTTGTTTAGGTATCACTAATCTATCTAGTAAACAAATTTTTTAAATATATTTGTGTGTAAATGTCAGTTATGTATTTCTTAATTTTGACTTTTTAAAGTTTAAATTCTTTATAAAAATAAGAAAAAATATATTATGTTTAATAAGATATCATAAGAAAGTTTTTAGATAGAAAGAATTTTTCATAAAATGTTTTTCACCTATATAAAATGGCATCTGAACTTTTCTTTTTTTCGACTTTTGTTGTTAATGTATTTGTTTTTTCAGTCGTCTTATCACTGTTTCGCTTTCTAATTTTACACATGTTCTTTCGTTCGCGTGAGCGTGAACGGGAACTTTCCTTATCGTCATCGCAAAAGATTTTAAAATTTGTTTTCTCACAGCAAGTCTTGGGCAGCACTGTTGTGCAATTTAATATAGAACAATCTGCATTTACTATCAATCCTTTCTTGTTTTTACAGTTGCCGGAAAATTTATTGTGTGCGTCCAAATACACATTTTCTTTGTTCTCTGATTCCGACTGAGGAATATTTCCCGACATGATCTAATATTATTTAAAAATATTTATGTATTAATTAGTTTATAATCGATTAATATAATTACTTATAATTATTATACTAGATTTTTTATATATTTTTAAAAATAAAATACATATAATGTATTGTATTTTCTCGATACATATAGATATATTTCATTATACATACAAATGCGTGTGTATATATACATATGTATGTACATATGTAAGAGACAAATCTAAAGAGAGATAGAATTGAATTATATTAGAATATTATACCTTTAATGTAATTATTTTGAAGACTGGTTAACAATGTATAAAATAAGTTATATTCTCACAGAAAATTTTCACGGAATTAAATTAATAAAACTAGATTTTAAAGTACATTTAATTTAATGCACACTTTATTACAGATGTTTAGTTAATTTTATTAACACACGTCCTTTTCGATTTGCTTTCGCGAGGCAACTGCCACGAAAATCGGCAAATTCTATGACTTGCGTGTTTTAGCCCGACATCTATTTGTCCTACCGTATGTATATAATCAACACGTATAAATACATGTTATAAACACAAGATCACAAACATGACACGAAGAAAATCAGATATTATCTGTTATTTCTGTTCTGACTTATATCGAAATTAAAAATAATATAAAATTAAATGTAGAATACAGAGGCGGATGTGACTTTTCGGGGACTGACGCTAATAAAATTAGGGGTCCTTTTTCGACACAGAAAAGAAAATTACAATGACGTCAAAAAATGACGAAAAATTACTATAAAAATTAAATAACTTTTCTATCATAATTTAATTGTTTTCTTCTTATTTTGACATTATTATAATTTTCTGTTCTAGGTAACATTAATAAATACAACTTGAATAAAATATATATTTATTATAAATGATATTCATAAACACTATATAAGTATAATAACGATTTACAGAAACGTTTTACAGAAACAAATTAAATTAATAAAAATAATTGACATATAGTTGTAAAACATTATTCTATTAGAATAATGTATATCGCAATACATATACGTATACATATATGTATATTATGTACATGCATTATATGTATATATATATGTATTTTAAACTATTAAACAATTAGAAGATTCATCATATTTTATTAAATAAGACATGTAACAGCATAGAACATACATTTTATATTTATTTCTTCAATTGTTGTAATTTCTCGTTTTTTTTCGTTTTTTTGTTATCAGTTTTTTGTTATCAGTTTTTTTAAACTTGACCAATTTGCAACAATTTTTATAGATCATGCGTTCTATAGCGTAGACAAGAGAGCTAATAAACAAAGCTATGATTATGAAAAACAGCAATGGCATTATATCATTAATCTCGACTGATTTCCACGATGCTGTCGACTGCAATCGATAACGAATCTATTATAGATCGAAGACACAAATATGGTATACAATATATCAAATCACTTTTGTTATATGTATGATTAATAATATTTTGAGAAATTTATTGCACTAATTGTACTATACTCACTGTGGCTAACTGAACTGCCCATTGTGTTTCTAGCAAACGTTGCAAGACTCCGCTATCCTTCAACAATAGGATACTGCAATAATATTAAAAAAGCGCGATTAAAACGAAATTGTACAAAAACAAAATTTGATTGCCTAAAAATCGTCTCATACTTAATTTACGCTAATAAAACTGCGACACGTACCGTTTATTAATAATACCGAGAAACGGACTATAACGTTGTACTGCCATTGCTATAGTAGCTGGTGTGATGACATCCAATGGTATCAATTTGCAATCGACTTTTGCTTGTAGTAACGTTGCCATACTATCGAGTACCACAAAAGCATATTTGTCTTCGCTGCAAACACGCTCCAGACCATCCAAATAATTGTCTGGTAATTTCTTGGCAATAGTTTCTTTCATTATTAACTTGTCAAACACTTGACTCATTATTTCGTCTTTCGTATTCTACAGTAACAAAATTAGAAATTATATAAAATTGCATCTTGTACAAAAATTATCCATAAACAAGATTTTTATTTCTTTAGTTATTATTATAAATGTTAAATTAAAATAAGTGCTGTTAATATATCGCGCGTAATTAACCACGTGATATTTAAACATAATTTTTTTATTTACACACACGTATTTAATTAATTAATAAGAAGCTTCTATAGAATATTTCAAATATAAATACGTTTTTTCTAGAATTCATGACTATACGGCAAAAACAGCATTTAAATACCTGAAGAAAGGCGAAGTACGCTGAATTACCAATTACGCCGCAACTATAACCCTCTTCTTTTAAAAGCCCTTCCATAGTCGTGAAAGGAATAAAGAATGTCTTGACAGTAAGAAAGCTAATCAAGGCGGCGGAATATGCGGCTAAGACGATGACCGCTGTCAAGTAAGTTACTAAATGCACCATTCTTACAGGATCTAGCGTGGATTGGTTCATACCTGATAAGATATTACATCACATGATAACAATTACACATTTTAAAAAATTACACATGTACATATAGCTTTAAGAAAGAAGTATTTATTTGAAAAGGAGCATTACCTTGACTGCAGAACGCTCCTGTAATAAAAAATACAATCTCTGTAAATCTTGACGGCGCGTTGTTGTCTTGCATATGTATGGAAAATGCAAAAAATTTTTGAATGAACACGATCAATGCACTCAGAATTATTATAAAAAAACCAATGATCCTCCAAATATTTATGGAGAAAGGCGCCACGTAAGTATCCCACTTTATTGTACTCCCTGCTTCTGGCCTTTTAATGTAGGCACGAACGCTAATAATTAAAATAAACAAAATGTGAATAATTTATCGCGAGTATCAGATAAGTAATTAATATATAAATATTATGTTGTGTGCATGTATGTGGATTGCATGAAATTTAATATAATAATATTGAATACTAATATAAATAATAATAAATAATAATATTGATATAGTGTTTCTACGTTTTATTAATAAAATTTAAATTAATGTTTCTATTATACATAGAGTTGTCTCAAACATTGAAATTGTCTGTATAAAATATTGTAGATGAGTGAAACGTTCAGTGCACTTAGAATATTTTATAAAATGAAAATATACTTGGTCGTGAAAATGGGTACTGTAAAACTGGCGTAGTCTAGTCTTTGCTTGGTCATCATGAATTCCGTCACCGCGAAGTCAATTTCATCGCGATGTAACATTCCAATTGCACCCGTGCACGTGCCGTTTGGTCGACACATGCCCCACGATTCTGAATCCCTAAATGTGAATCTGAAACAAGTATTCGTCATATGTATATGTATATAAATGTGATATAATTAATCATTAGTCGATATATTGTCACAACCTAACTTAAAAAAAAGGAATGAACAAATAATTTCAAATGACAATTCCGAAAGAACTTCACAGTGAAAGCTGTCAAAATCGCAGTCACGTCAAAACTATGTCCAAACAACATTAACTGTCACAATTAATCTTGAAACGAGCGCGAGATTGAAAATGAAGAATCGCTGACGACGTCATGCTACGCAATCTTGCTGCAAAATGGATTAATTTAAAAAGAATAAAGACAATGAAGTAATCCATTTTCAATGACATTATTAATTTTTTTATTGAGTTTAATAAACAGTTTTAAAATGACATTAATTAATATATTCTATTTATTTTGTAACTGATTATTTAAATATCAATTTAGTATGGTTATTATTTATAATAGATATTATGTATTAATATTTACATTTATTATAGCGATATCATATATTATATTATATACACCTTTTTCTAGCAAAAGACAAATTATAAAATAAATAATATTTTGTAATAAATAGCATAATCAGGTATTATCCATTGTACAATTCGAGAACGTATTCGGAAAGACGCCGAAGGAGCGGCGATGGTCGAAAAAGGGAAATCTTTGAGGAAAAAGGAGCGGCTAGCGAGGAGGAATATTTTCGAAAAGAAACCGCTAGGCAATTAAAAGAGCTCAAAGAACAGCTACAGCAACGTATGGAAGAGAAGAAAAATAAAATAGCAAACAAAAGGGATAAAATAGCGGAAAAAGACAGTGAGCAAAAGAAACGCAATCAAATTACGGATAAAACTACTTCAAAGAACTCTGATAAAAAGTGAAAAAAGACGAATACAATAAATAATAAACAGGCAACATAACAATTATTGATGAATCTGATAAATTATATTTTTCTTTAGAAATTATAATGCGCGGATAATAATTTTACATAATACTTACTAAATATCTTTTTTATTTAGTACTTACGTGCAATTCAATTCCTCCTGCAATAACAGAATTATCTCTCCAAAAAGCCAGTAACTCCTATTATCTCGTTTTGTTCGTTACGTTGAAACTCACTGACAGGAGGGTCCTATGCGTAGAAAGTTGTTTATGCCGAAGCGAATATTATATTATTTACAAGCTCACAATTATATATAATCAATATTAATTTCAATATTATTAACATGGTTTTATCAATTATTAATATTACTTAATTGCTTATTATTATGATTAGAACATTTAGAGTGGGAAATAAAATAAGCGATCTTACGTGGAGCGACGCAATGCGCAAGCTCTCACCAAAAAGATTGTTCCTTCGTAAATATAAGCTTCCTGCAGGACCTTTCAGACCTCTCCTAGTATCCCACACACCAAAGTTATTTGATCTTAGTTCTGTATTTTTATGAATTTGATAAACTTCAGTGAGGAATCTCCTTGTCAGTTTCATTGATGCTGCTTTGAGCCACCACAAATTTACAATTAAATGGCACATAAATGTTGAAGAAAAAGTCCGCCAAGTTGGTCTGGTTATCGAAAAAGACCAGCCAAGTAGGATGAGACATCAAAATCCAAGTAGAGACCTGTGTGCATTTTAATAAGTAATCACTACCCACAAATTTCCCACGTTTAATCCGATACAATAAAGTAAATACTTTGCGATAAAAGCTTGTGTTTAAAAAATTTAGTATGCAAATGAATTTGAATAAAATGAAAAAATACTATATAATAAAATTATACATATACAAGTAAAGAAAATTGATTGTTTTTTTTTATTACTACTAGAAATTCACAGTGAGAGGAAAATTATTTTGTATTTTTATATTAGCAATTAATTTTGTATAATAATAAATGAAATCATATTATAGCAACAATCTAAAAAGACATTATTTTTTATAAGTAGTATCTTTAATTTTTTATATTTAATAAATATAATTACATTTGCCAAATTATTCCTTGTATCTTCATCGGTGTTTAATAAGACGAACAAAGGCCTCCTGATGTGAGAATAATTTTGTCCGATCTGCAAATAAGCAAATCTTTCCTTTTTAGTACAATTATATCGCTTTTGAAATATACAAAAGATTATTTTATGACTCATTTGTTTGTTACGATAAATTTTTCTTAAAATATAGAAGATTAAATCTTAAAGATCTTATAGTTCTCTAGATCTTATAGTATCTATATAATAAAAAATACAGATTGAAAAAAATATGTTACAAAATATAGATATAAATATATAAAAGAAATAGATTGTAAGCGCTCACTTGCGTTGTAAACATATGAAAATCCATAATTGCTGTGCGTACGTGAAGAGTCGAGCTTAAATATTTTTGAAGCCGCAGCAAGAGTTCGCCTTCCCTAAATCCTGCAAGGTAGTAGTTTTCAGTATCCGAAGAATCGATTCTGACAAATCAAATGTATCTCCATTCTGCTTCTCACCTTGCGTCTCAAGAGGATTACTATGTAGGACTATGATGCACGTATTATTGAAGTAGGTACGAATATCTCTGATGAGATCCTCGTACACCGAAATCGGTCGGATCAGCTGACTCCACGCGAGATCGAACATCATTATGGTCCATATGAGGACGATCAAACTTAAGATCAAGGAGATATCGAATTTGTGAAACATTCTTCGCCGAGTGTTTGCGTCGCACTGAAATCCGACCAATTTCACGAGCCAGCTCGACGAAACAAATCTCAATATTTTTTAGATCCGACGTATTTTACCGTATTTTATCGCATTCGTACTTCTCGCCGATCGCAACGGGGAGGCAATCAATTTAGATATCAGATAATAGCGGGATAATCAGCATCGTACGATTTTATTCGCATAGCCAAGTCGATATTAAAACATACGATTTTATTCGCACATTTAATATAATGATATAATAATTAACAATTTAACGGACGATTGGTTTTACAAGGAGAAATTTAATTGGGAACAACGCGATTTTAACGCTTATATACGGAAAAATTTTAATGTCAAGAATGCCGATACCGAGTGCATGAGAGATCGACTGACATCGATTCCGTGAGTCTCGAATAAATTGTGTTTGCTCTCTTCGCGTATTTGTTCTCCCGTTTGTGTAAACTGAACTAGGCCACTGTTCAAACAATCTATGCATCGCCCGAGCGATGATTCCGAGAGGAATATTGTTTAATAAACAAAATAATTCACAAACTTTGCTGATAGATTTATACAAATTAAACAACTGATCTGTTTGTTGGATGTTCTCGTCGTAGGAGATGACGTCAATTGGATATTTCGGTTCAATAATCACATACATCGGATTCTAAATAGTAGCTTATTCTGTTATAAATAATCCTTCTAAATGGAAATTGGATTAATAATTAAATTATTTATACGTATATAATAAAAGCTATTATAAAAGATAAAATAATAAAAATAATTAACATTACTAGTTCTTATCAACACGGATTTTTTCAATTAAAGAACGGTTAATATGATTATGTACTAAATATACAATCTAAGCTAATTAACGAAAAGCATGAGTAAGATTATTTTTAAATATGGATTAAGTGAAATTTTTTATACACAATACAACATAATATATATAGGTAGATGTTATTGTCAAACTTTTCAAGAAAGCATTAAAATATATATATAAGAGATGTCAGTAGTATGATTTTTGTTGATAACATGAGTTGCATGTTGTGAATAATAATGATGATGTATGATCAATATAAATAAAATAACAATCTAAAAGAAACTATGGAATACAAAATGATCTCTTTTGACTTATATAAATGGAAAATCATATTATTTAATGGCAGAAAAATCAACATGTAAATTGTGTACCATATCGTTTGTAATAATCGCAAGCTAAACAAACAATTAGAAGTGGTATAAGAGTATAAAAATAGTGATAGTTCCGCAGCGCATGTATGTAATCTTTTAAATTATATTTGCTTTAAGAAATCGTTTAATGACGTCTTTATGTAGCTTTCCTTTCTAAAAAAAGTTGTTCATAAAAAATTATTTTAATAAGTAATTTATTAATTAATAATTAATCTTATGTATTAATAATTTATTAATTAATAAATAATAAATTACTAATTAAAATTAATAAATTACTAAATAAAATTAATAATAGTTTCGGTAAAAATATCTTATTAATGATGCACTAATTTACCTATAAAGCGTTAAATTTGAAATTTATCAATATTTTTCCTTCTTTTATTATTATCTAAGCATTTTTAATTAAATTTACATAAGATTAATATTAAAATTTATGAATTATTTATGTATTCTATTTCAGAATTGGTTTTTCTTTTTAAAAAGTCTTATAACGAGACAGAACTGATAACATTATGTAGTAACATCAATAATTTTGTACAATATATTGTAATTTAAATCATGTGACTTATACACAGAATACGTATACACACACACATATATTCTAGAATAATTAATTTTTCACAAGGACTTTTATTTAAATGCGCAATACATATCTATATGTTATATATGTATCTACATATTATATATGTATCTGTACCATGTCATAATATATAAGAATATGGTCTCAATGTAAGCATTTAGTTTTCTTAGTACGCTCGTAAAACATGTTACGAAAACTTGTTTACGTTGTTTTTACGATTCTCGTTTTAATAACGATGTCACGGACCAATCGTAAGTACCGTAATATAGTGTATATTTAAAAATATAAATTATATTATAAATAAAACAACCATATTATTCTTATATTATTTATATTATATTATTTTTAGCGAAAAATTGGATATATAGTAAAGTAATAAATAGAAAGAATATATTTTATATCTTAAATATTTAGAAAAGCTAATTTTTTCTAGTGTGTGCACTTGTTTTTTGATCAATTAATTTTTTTAGCAGACAAATTCATATGTGCTTTAAGAAAATGCACACACACACACACACAATCTCATTATTATAAATTAAATAATTAATTTAAAATTTTTAACTTTTAATTCTTTAGACTTTTAATTATTGATTATAACGATTGTATTAGATATAGATCTAAATATTAGATATAGATTTAATATTAATATAGATTTAATATTAGATATAGGTCTAAATATAAATTATAAATTAAATTTATGTTTATATATATATATATATAATTAAATATATTAAAAAAGATTAAAAATATGAATATATTTGAAAATTTTCTTTCTATAATCATAAATTTAAAAAACTCTTATTTATATAAGACTTTTTAATATAAAATTCATAACTTTATACTTGATTAATAAATTCTGACTTTCAGCGATAAATTCGGGACCAGATGACAACAATCCAATAAATAGCCTCTTATCTAGCATATCTGCACTGTTGCCAGCTGGTGAAACCTCAAACAATTTTATAAATAATTTATTGAAAATTATACGAGAATTGCGTTTGCCATGTACAATAAATTCCGTCATTCCATGGGAATTAAATTGTACACAAGTCGAAGTCGAATAATATTACAGAGCACTTGATACAATGTGTTTATGTTTTATTAAATAAAAACTCTACAATACTTAATTATATTTGTTATATAACACAATACGTTAAAAATTTATATAATGAATTTTTATGAATCACGTAATTGATAAATATATTTCTATGCATGCATTGTAATAATAATAATTTTATACGTCCCTTATAGAAATTTATCACTAGTAAGTCCAATTAATCACTTATTTCGAATATTTAAATTACCGATATACAATTTAAGTGCTCGAAATAAGTGATTAATTGGACTTACTAGCGATAAATTTCCATCAGAGGTGCGTTGCAATTTTTAAGGTTTTATTATTAAAGAATAACATAATATAACTTCGCTTCGCGCACGTAATTAGGTATATTCGATTAAACTAAACAAATTGAGAAAAATATATAAAGAGATACATACTCAATACTCAAACAATACAATAAAAATTCGGCAAATTGAAATTATGTACATAGAATTATAGAAATTCAATAAATTAAAATTATATACATAATAATGGTAATTCGGGAGTTAAAATTATATATATAGTAGAAATTCGGCGATATAGAATCATGTACACAATAGAAATTCGAGAATTAAAATTATGCACATAATAGAAATTTAGCGAATTAAAATTATGTATATAATAGAAATTTGCCGAATTAAAAATTGTGGTCATAGCATCAAACAACTGTCATTGCGAAGATTAACAATTTGACAGTAGTAAAATGAACAATAGAAATGATGTCAAAGGAGCGCGCGAAGCGCGCGCTTGTGTTGTCTAGTATTATATAAAAATATAACAATAACAAAAGGAAGATCACTGGGCCGTATATATTCTCAAGCATTTTTTTATACGTAATTAGTAGCTGATAACAATATACGTCAACTTTGTTCCGTGAAAAATCGTTACTATAGTTCTACTAAACTTTTCAAGTAAACGTACACGCTTAAGAGTGCATGATTATACATTTCTATATGAAAACAAAAATAAGAAAATAGATAATAAAATAAATAAAATAAATAAAATAAAAAATAAATAAAAAATATAAAACACATAAAATAAATTCTCCACTACGTGTCTTCTTCGAACATCATTTGCCATTATTATCGTGCACACAATAGGTACCAATTTATGCTAGCTAAAATGTCAAGCTATCAGAAAATTGTATTATTAAACTAATTTTTATCAACAACCGATTAAAAAAAAACGATAAAAGGAGGTCGCTCATCACGGCAAGGTAACTGTCCAGGAGAAACTTCGACAAGACAAAAGACGAGGCAAAAGTGTAAAACAAGGTTTTTACACTTTTGCTGCAAGGCCTGTCATTCGCAAAATGAAGAAAATTCTCGTTGTTTGTCTGATTGTGATAGTTAGAAGTATATTGTGCAAGACCTATACCAATAGAACAAATATCGATTCAATGGAAACTGCAGGTAAATTATATATTATAATATATAATTATAATTAATAAGCGGTTAATTAATATTGCTAAAAATATTTTAATCTTTTTTTGTGAAAAATTTTAATTATATAAAATTTCTCCAATTTTACACAATGAAATTTGTCTGTCAGTTAGAAATATAATCTTTTTTTAAAAATTATTATTTTACACGCTTTTATTTTTTATTATTTTTTTAATAAGTTAATATAATTCAAGTTCAAATAATTTAATCAAAAATTATATTACATTTCACAGATTTCATGACTAATTTATTGACTGGGCAAAACTTGTGTAAAAATTACTTCCCATTGACTCGATCAAAGAGATATTGCATCCGATCCAAACAACCAAAACTATACTTTGCTATATCATCAATATTATTAATATAAAAATTCATGAAATTGTATATAAATTATTCGATATTTTTTTTAATCTTTTAAAGTTAGCATTCCTACTATCATTACAAATGATGTTAAATCGAATAATGGATATTCATATTTTACCTCAAAAATTCAAATGCTTAATAATTGATTTGTTTAATATATAATGTCTTAAAAAACTATCGGGATACGTTATAAAAAAAAATATAGTAAAATTTGATTTTTTCAAAGCAAATTGAAAAATATGCAATAAGAATGCATTATTTATAAAAGTTAAATATTTTAATAAATATAATGATTTAAAAATATATGTATACATACATATATATATATGTATGTATATAATTATATTTTAAAAATATAAAGATGTTTTAAAATATTATTTATACATATATAATATTTTTAAACATATAAAATATTATATATATTTACGCTATAAATATTTTAAATATGCATGTTACGTTTTTATTTGATACATTGTATAATTTGTACATATTATGCTTTTATTTGACATATTGTATAAGTTAAATATACAAATAAATAAAATATATAAAAAAAAAAATTTGTTGTTCACATGTTCACGCTGTCTGTACATACATTTTTTGTTATTTATCTTTCTATTATTTATCCTATCTTTCTATTATTCTAATTCTATAATGTCTGCTCTATGCATTAGTTTTATTATGTATCAGTAAAAATAAAGTTTGTAAAAATTTACCATCGGAATATTCATTTACCACAAAAACAGTATCTATAGAAAAATAATAAATTAAAAAATAATTTTAAAGTTAATTACTATTTATGTTACTATATGAATTGAAGTTTACCAATATTACTATCATTTAGAATTGTTAAAGATATACCAACCAAAAAAAATATTTTATCTAGATATATACTAATTTTTTCGACATGATTAAGAAATTAGAAAGTAAGGCCGCGTTTTTATTATATATACTTACGGATTTATTTAATTAACTATATACATATAATAGAAAATTACGAAATGTCACTTTATTTATATGCATAATTATAATAATAATTCTGATAACTGCCGATGTTATTATATATAATTGACTCATCGGTATGTTAAGTTTAATTATACTATACCGAGGTCGTACAAAATTGCATATTTCTTTACATTAGGTATTATACAAAGACATACACGTATAATAAATTGTCACAAATATAAAAATAATTACTTTGTCCATTATCATATGGGCAAATAAATAACATTCGATTGCATAAAATACAATACGATCTGCAATAATTATTCTATAACTGTTTCTCACAACTGAATATTTGCTAATAGGTACAAGCTAAATCTGTTCTACAATCGAATAAAATCAGCTCGAAATTATTTAATTGCAATTTTAGATGTAAATTATTTGTAAAATTTTATTTTGTCTTAGCATGCATATGCTCGAAATAAAAAAAATAACAATAAGTTATACGTATATATATATATACATTTCAAATTATATATCATAATACTTTTTTATTAAATTATACACTATATATGATCGCTTTTGGTATTGTATTTAATATTGGAATAGTGCATATAAAATACAGTCAATGTTAAGCAAAATAAAATAAATAGTTCTCCCAGACTAATATTTCTATTTTTACTAGAAACATTTAAAATTTTTATTAATTTTCAAAAATAATTGTATTGATGTAATCAATTTATTAAGATTATTCTTAATTTTAATAAGATATTACGACAAAAAGTTTTTATAAAAATATTTTTCGCATTTGCGAAATTTATGATATAAAATTTTGTGATGTTGTAAAACGAAATATATATATATATATTATCAATAACGTTGAGCGTACCTACTATCACGAATAGTTATTTCTTCGAACTCTAGCACGCAACTGTTAACTAATAAGTTAACGTTACTTATTTACAGGCATCTATATATATTTAATCTCATGCTTATTAACAATACTAAATTGAGACATCAGTTTTTCCATAATTTTTTTGCACTTCATGCTTAATGAATAATAGTTGTAATAAAATTGCAACCATTTTTAGATTATTATAGATTATTTATTTTCTGATATTCTAGCTGTGTGCTACCATATAATAAACTGCTGTATTATATTTTATATTTATTTTTAAAAATAGATAAGTGAAAATAAATAATTCAAATAAGCAAATATATGTGTATATATATATATATATATACATATATTTGCTTATTTGAATTATTTATTTTCACTTATCTATTTTAGATATATATATATATATATATATATATATATATATTTGTTAATATTTTTAATTTTTAAGTCTTATGTCTTGTATATTTAATAAATTGTTTGCCATCAGTTTTTTTTATCGTAAACGAAAACCAGGAAATTTTAATAATATTTACCTCACATAAAAATGTGACGGTAACAAAAGAAAAGTCACTGGGCCGTAAATATCCTCGAGTATTTTTACATACGTAATTAGTAGCTGATAACAATATACTCGTCAACTTTGTTCTGTGAAAAATCGTTACTAGTTCTGCTAATCTTTTCAAATAAACCAAACTCAAGAGTGCGTGATTATATTTCTATATTGAAACAAAATAAGAAAATAGGCCAAATAAAATATATAAAACACATACATAAAATAAATTTTCAATCCATTATTCGCAAACAATTGGACGTATGTATAATTAAAAAGCATAATATTAATTCATAAAATATTACGTGTCTTATTCTTTGAATATCATTTGCCATCATTATCGTACGCATAATTGATACCATATTTATGCTAGCTAAAATGTCAAGCTGTCAGAAAATTGTATTAAACTAATTATTTTTGCCAACAATTGATTGAAGAAAAACGATAAAAAGAAAGTCGCTCATCACGGCAAGGTGGCTATCCAAGAAAAACTTTGGCAAGAGAAGAGACAAGATAAAAGTGTAAAAAAAAGTGTTTATACTTATTCAAGACCAATCATTCGTAAAATGAAGGTATCAATTCTCGTCGTTTATCTGATTGTGATATTTGGAAGTATATCCTGCAAGACTTATATCGATAGAACAAATATCGATTTACTAAGAGCTGCAGGTAAATTATATATATATATATATATATATATATATATATATATAAAAAAAATTTTAATATATAAAATTTCTTTAATTTTACACAATAAAATTTTTGTCTGTCGGTCAGATATAATCTTTTTTAAAAAATGATTATTTTTTATACGCACGCTTTATTTTTTATTAATAAGTATTAATATATGCTCGTATATATTCGAAAGAGACATTAATTTAATATATTGCTACATTGATATATCTTAAGCAAATAGAAAATACGAATATATAATAAACATAAAAATTAACAATACATAAATAAATGCTTTATATATATACTTGTATCTCTCACAACAATCGTATCTCATAATATAATACTTTTTCAGATAATGGGAATCACGACACAAGTGATTTCAATGTATCTTTGGAAAAATCGAGATACAAAAGTGCCAGTATATTATCTCCGATTACAAAGATAGGACACTTGATTGGAATTGATTCAAATAATTTTATCAAAAGTATATTACAATTCACAGATTTTATAATTGGTTTATTGACTGGGCAAAACGGCTTTTGTCCAGAAAAATTATCCATTGACTCGATCGAAGAGATAATATTGCATCCGATCCAAATGATCAAAACTATAATTTGCTATACCTTCAATACTATTGGAAGAACAAAGCGTGCAATTGTATATAACGCATTCGATTTTTTTTCGAATTTTTTAATGACGGTATTCCTACCATCATTACACACGGTGTTAAATCAAATAGCGAATACTGGTATTTTACCTCAAAGCCTCGAAAATGTAGTAAATATGTTTAATACATTATATAATATTTTAAGACTAATGGGATACGTTAAATAAAAAATGTAGTAAAATTTAATTTTTAATTTTTTCATAGCAAATTGAAAAATGCAAGGAAAATAAAATGCGTAATTCATAAAATATATTAAATAATATACATATATTTAAATATATATATATATATATATATATATATATATATATTCATGTACTTTAGTTAATATATAATTAAATTTAATATATTATACTATATTTACTATAATGTAATTAAATATTAAATATTATAAAACAAATATAAAGACTGGTGTTTATATTATAAAACATTTCCATTTCCATCCAAGTGATGTGTTAACTTTCAAACCAAAGTAGGCTGTCTCCAAATATATATTGAACCCAAAAAAACTCGTATTTTCGAATATATGATATGCTAGACGTATTTCGAGCATTTTGTTTAAAATAATTCTCGTACAGTCCTGGGTAAGTACATTAATTATCCAAAGAGTTCTGACCCATAAAAATACTTAGGATATTTCATTTTTTAATTAGTTACAATCATTTAAAGCGATAATTTAATTTATCCATGTATTTTATAAATTACATAATTGTCTATAAAATATCCTAAGTATTTTATGGGTCAGAACTTATTGAATAATTAATGTACGTGCCCAGAACTGTACGAGAATTATTTTACAATAAACATAATGCTCGAAATACGTCCAGCATATATCATATATTCGAAAATACGAGTTTTTCGTGTTCAAAAGTAAATTAAAACAGAAATTAAAATAGACATAAAAATGACTATTAAAATTAAAAGAGATTAAAATATATAGATTATTTAAACAATATAATTAAAACATTCATACAATTTTTCTGACTTCTGCCATTTTGTTATACTAAGAAGGCGAATTACTTTATAATAGATTTTTATGTCCTATAAAATGTTGTATATAGAATATCTTAGTTTTTTAATCAGATGAAAAGATAATTTAAAAATATTTTAATAAATGGTGATACACAGTATAACATAAAAAGAGAATGTAGATTAATTAGAAAATAATTATAAAAATATTTTAATTCTTTTCCTATATACGTACACATATACATTCTTTCTCTATCTCACTTTTTTTCTCTTTGTATATAATCAAAGAAACATTATTGAGATATATAAATCTCGTAAAAAGATTATTTCATAGAAATACACATATACATGTTTCCAAAAAAACCTACACAGAAACATAATTAAATAAAGATATATTATCTTTAATTCCTATCTCTTAATCTATTTAATGAAAAAATTTATACAAAAATTTAAATTAACTTTTACAAAAAAAAGTGTTCTAATCATTATTGTGTTAAAAAAACTGTCATTAGAAAAACAGATATAAATTTCTACATGTTACTGAATCCTTATTCAAGCATTTGTACTTAATAAGAGTTATCATCATCATCATCATCTGTATATTCATAAATTTTCGAAACTTCCTCTTCGTGTTCTTCGATCTCACATTCAGACAAATGTGATTCCCCTTCCATAAATTTCGCAAATCTGAAAAATTCACATTCATGAGTTGATTAAAAAGATTTACTTCTGATATTAACAATATTAAGCATAATCGAAATTATATAACCTTATGGGCTCTTTTAATCTTAAAACTGTCTTCCAAGGATTACATTCTGGACTAGAGCAATAATTCTGTAATTGTTTTAAGGCTTTCTTAGTTTGTCGTATTCCTTCTTGACGATATTGATCCTCAGTTAATAATTGTCGTTTTTCCGGAAACCTAATTTGCCTCGTTTAAGAAAAAAAGAGGAGCGATATTATCTTTTGGTGTTCAAAAAGAATAAATTAAATAAATATAGAACACATTTAAAACACAAGTAAATATAGCCATACATAATATACATAAGTTTTTATTGCATATTTAAACAATTTTAGAAGTTCAAGTGTATGGAATTAAGTATAATATTAATGCAAATTATTATGTACCTGAACAGTCCACGAAGTTATTGTAATATTTCTTTTATACTTATGTAATGTTTCTTATGTACTTATACTGCTACTCGTAATAATGCTTTTAAATAAAATTTAATATAATTAATAGATAATAGTCAAAAATATAATCAATTAATGTCTCATAAATGTCTTTTTAAACAAAGCAGATAGAAGAATTAACACATTTTATTGCAAATTATACAATTGCTATATACACAAATCATATATATATATATATATATATCATACAAAAAAGTAAATTCAAAAATCCTTAAATATGAAATAAGTTTATCATACACAGAAACCAAACAACTTAAATGAATATTCGGTTAAATATAGCGTTAGCAATAAACATATATAAAATGAAAAATACATGATTTATAATTGTGCATTAAATAACACTTACATTAAAAGTGTACTTAAGTATTAATTAATACAATTTAATGATATAATATTAAATATCTACAAGGTACATTCAAACTTATATAAGCTATTAAAAGAGAAAAGCAACATAAATAGAAAAGGTAAGAGGTATGTGCATAACGGACGCGCGTGAGATTTATTCAAATAATTCAATAATCAATTTTTATATCATTTTTCAAAAGCAACGATGCGTGTGATTATAGCTGATTGCGAAAGCAAAATTATTAATTCTAGTTCTATATTGATTGTCCTATATGCTTACCAATATCTCTTTCCTCGTTCGAGCGCGGCCTTTGGAAAATTATAAAGAAGTACGAGAACAATGCAACATGAAAAGGAGGCCTCATAATAATAACTGCTATTATATACCATTGCCAACCCCATAAACTGTAAAAGTATAAAGCCATTTTTATATTAATAAATTAAAAATATATATATTAGTAAATTAAAAAATTGTCAATATAATTTTGAGAAAGAAATATCATATGCAATCATACCTGCAAAAACCATTGTATTATTTGTTTTGTTCTATTATTGGTTACTGGACCAAAACGATAACAGATTACAAAGCTAATCAGAGATGTAATAAGAATGTACCACATCACCCATTCTCTGTATTGTGCTATAATTAATTGCATATTTTCCCACAATACTTGAGCAAGATAAAAGCTCATTGATGCAGCAAACACTAAATACATTACTTTTCCCTTAATAAATAAAAAAAATATTTAAGAGATATTTTTCTTAAAATTAAATTTTTTCTTCCTAGTTAAATATTATATATGTATTATGTTAAAATAGTTACCCGTGGTATCAATTTTCCTGCCATATATATTAAAATTAAAATGGATAAAGTGACACCAAATAATATGCCACAAGCATAATAAAATAATGAATTCCGACTTAATATCTGTGCAAACCAGAAAATGATGATACCAATTATCATTATTGTCAATCTCCAAACATTGATACCTGATAATAAAATATGTTACTAATTATGTTAGTAAAAAGAAATAATCTTACATTTTGATACTTACGTGTTTCTGTCAGATTGATTATATACCCAGATTGATTGGAATCTGTGTAAACACCTATGCATATATTTTCAAAAGGATTGATTTTTAATTGCTTATGTTTTCCTGTGTCAAACAAATTAAGACTCCATGATTTCTGATTTTCATTGTGCTTTTGCTGTATTTCTTCAGGCGTTTTGCCATCATATAAGACATAGGAATCTGAATTAGTATTCAGATGCATCTATAATGTAATATTTATTTTATAATTATATATTAAAATATTCTATCTTTAAAGATATATATATTTTCATAACTATATAAAATTATATATATATATATAATTCTTAATATAATTCTTAATATGAAATCATTCTTATTCTTATTATTAAAATTTTCTTACAGTCATAGTTCTCCACATATGTGCCAAGTATTTTGATATACCAATATGACAATATGTTTTTAACCCAGGATTATTATTTTCCACAGTATCATCTGCATTCAGAAAGTGTATTTCTGCAACATTAAATCAAATACATATACATATATTAAAAAAAGTTCTAATAATTAAAATGTTAAAAATTAATATTTATATTCAAGCAAATTCTTGCTTCATAGTCTTATTTTCAGAAAATAAAGTTTGTAATTTTTAATTTTCTCGTTAACAGGTGTAAAAATTTATATAATTACAGGAAAATTGATTTCGTATAAAAATTTAACAATAAAACATATAACATATATAATATAGGAAAGATTATTTTTTTCAAAGCAAGAATAACATTCCATATTATAAGCTTGCAATGATAAAATGATACATGTCAATATTTATTTTATGAATTATTAACTTAAATTATTAAATTAATTCACAATTTTTAAATATATTCTAATAATAAAATTAAATTTCAAAATGTAAAAAGCATGCATCGTATCAGCATGTTGACAATATTACATGATGTATATACGTACATATATTAACACACGGTTATTATATCTCAACCAATATTTCCAATTACATATTATCGTTGTATAATTTAAACCGAATGTAATTATTAATGACTTTTCGAGTATGTAGTAATATAAATTTTGGGTATAATTTTTAGGTTAGATACATAGGTTAGATAAACTTACTTGGCCCTTCCACGAAACGTCCCGCATGAACACATTGAAATAAGCAGATATTTATGAAAATCCATTTCATTAATCCAGTCGCTCTGTTCATTTTCCTAATTATATACAGATTTTCCTTCATACGTACGTTATCACGCTTGTCGCATGCTGACATTACAAAACAGAGACAAAAAATTTGAAATATCTCGAAATCTCGATACAAAATGGCAATGTATCGATTAATCGATCGATGCAAAATTTCAATATTGAGACGATTATAAGCGTAAAATAATATCCGTATAAATGTATACTAATATTTAAATTTTTTAATTAAACTCTGTACTTTTTTTTTATTTTTTTCATTCTCTTCTCTCTCTCTCTCTGTTTCTCGCAACATATAAATGTATATAGTGTAAAAAGTGTAACGTAGTGCAGTTAAAAAGAGTCAATTGCCAGTGTTTTTCAATTATCCTTGGATGCACCGCGGGCTCGCTTGATGTACACAAAAGTAAGAAAAGTTTGCAACAGGAAATAATTTTCGTCTTAGAAATCCTGACGATTTAATAACGTACAATACTCAGTTTAGATCCTGAATATAATGAGTCAATTTATTACAGTACAAGGTAAATATATCTAAATATACCACAAAAAAAAATATATATATATATAATGTTTGATTTCGGTTAAGTAATGATTGTATAAATGAAAAAAAGACAATTTTTTTCTATTTTCTTACGTGAACTCTTATTTTAGTCGGCCAATGCGGAAATCAAATAGGATCGGCTTTTTGGCCCTTAGCCTTGCATGAATATGGTATCCAGACTACTAGTGGTGGTGTAAATTTGCTCAAAGTACAACGAAATCACGTTAAACATATGAGTGATCTCTCGGATGCGTTTCCCAGTTTCTTTCAGGTTCCAGTTAATACAAATAACTTTCATTTCCAAATGTAGCTGACTTAAACAAGGCAAAAGTTAAAGCTAGGGTAAGGATATTTTTCCTTCTATTTTATTTCTTAAAATATTACAAAATATTTCAACTACTTTAATGTGAAATAATTTTCCAAAGCAGGCTGTTTTGATAGATATGGAAGACAGTGTTGTATCTAGGTTTAAGCAAGGACCATTGCGTCAATTATTTGATCAAACATGTATTGTGACAAATTATCCAGGATCTGGAAACAATTGGTAATTTATGAAAGAAAAATGTTTATATATATATATCTATATGTAAGATAATTTAAAGTAATTTCGTTTTGTTTCAATAGGGCAGTAGGATATCATGTCCATGGTAGAGAATATCATGATCGTATAGAAGAAAGTATAAGACACGCAGTTGAAAAATGTGATCGTCTTCATGGGTTTTTATTAATGCATTCCTTAGGAGGAGGTACTGGATCTGGATTAGGCACAGCAACCTTAAAACTATTAAAAGATTATTATTCTCATGTAGAGAGGTATGTATTGTAAATATAAATGTTAATTGAATTTGATTGAATACTTGATCGTATGTATATAACCTGACAATGCAAACATTAAAGATATATCATATTTTAGGATTGTATCATGTGTATATCCTGCAAATATACAAGATACTATAACCGCTCCTTACAACACTTTACTTGCAACTCAAGAACTTATAGAACATGCCACATGTGTATTTCCAGTAGAGAATAAGGCTCTTTTAGATATATGCAATAGTCAAATGAACAAACGAGAAAATACAAATCAAATGAATTATAACGCCTCGTGTAAGCCATTTCACGATATGAATAGTATTATTGCCAATATGCTCTTACATTTGACCAGGTAATCAACTTTTCTCAAGCTATGATGTGAAACTTAAAACTCGTATATAGACAGTAATTTTTTTAGTGGATGCAGATTTCCAGGAAGTTTAAATATGGATATGAATGAAGTGGCTACAAACCTAGTACCTTATCCAAGATTACATTATATATTTAGTAGTATCAGTCCTATAACTTTATCAGCTCCAAATATGTGCACCATGCAAGAAACAAAGTAAGCATTCTTTTTGTCTATCTTTAATTTTTATTTTAAAATTAAGATACGAAAAAAAATCTGAATATGATGCAATTGTTTACAGGTTGCAGGATGAATTATTCACTAACGCATGGTCGCGAAATAATCAATTAATTAAATTAGATCCTCTTCAATCTACCTCTGTAATTCTTGCTGCTGCACATATTGCACGAGGAAATACTACTTTAACTGATATGAAAAGAAATATTGAAAGGTAATATTTTTTTAATTTATATATTTTTCGAGGCTCTATCAAGTATTTTATATTAATTACGATTATAACAATTTGTTCATAGATTTCAAAATAAATCAAAGTTTACTTCATGGAGTAGGGATTGTATGAAAATAGGACTATGTTCCATTCCTCCAGCAGGACACTCTTCATCATTATTGTGTCTCCTTAATTCATCCGCTATGTCTTTATTATTTAAAGATATAATTCAAGAGTTTTCTAAATTATATAAGAGAAAGGTGCAACATATAACAATGCAACATTTAATCCAAAATTTTCTTTTTGAACAGGCACAATTGTTTCTATTTTCCGACATCATTTTTTTGTTTTCTAAGATTAGCTTTCTTTTTAATAAACACGCATTTCTAAATTTAAATTTAAAGATTGCATGATTATAAAAAAAAAATATAAAATATTGCATTTTTTAGGCACACATTCATCACTATACACAAGTACATGGATTTGAAGAGACACATTTTATTGAGAGCAAAGAAAATATTCTCAATTTATGTGAAAGTTATGCAGAAGTACAGAATATGGGAGAGACAAATATTTCTAGATTACAAGTAATTTAATTTATCAAAAAAAAAAAAGAGTTGGAGAGATGGAACATTTTATATTATTTACACATGTTGTAAAAAGACTCTTAATATTTATTATCAATATTTATTTATTTTTTAAATTTTTATATCTATATATACAACATAATATTAATTTAATAAAAATAAGTAAGAACAGTAACAAAGTTTATTAGTATGGAACTAAACTTCTTCCGCACAAGATTTGTCAACAAAGCTTTAAAGTATTATCTATATCGCATCAGGAGTGTTTATTAGAAAAGCTTTATGTCCTGTAGTGTCTTGTGTCCTTAAAGGATCATGTTCTTTGGGTGTGCATGCAAATATATTCTTAAACTTACATTATCTTATCTACAAATTTTTATGTGCTCTTAGCTAGCAGGTATTTGTGGCAAACCAAATTCATCCACTGGAACTCCATCCTATAAACATTAATAATTTTATTTTGACTTATTGAATACTTAATGATTTTTATTTTAATATAAACTATGTCTTTTTCCCGACTTGTTATGCCATTTTAACTATTTTTTAATCATTAGCAAATATTCTTATTAAAATATAGACCTTGTTTTTGACAGAACTTGCTCCAGGTTCTTTATCTGGAGCACTAGGTGCCTTAATAGCATCATCTAAGAAGCTGGTGTCTTCATCCAAAGCAAGGTCATCACCAAGAGCTTCCAATTCTGCTGCAAGTTCGTCATCGTCAATTTCTGGCATTCCATAGCTACGACCCATTGCTTCTTGAACCTCATCAGCTTGTTCTAACATATCTGCCAAATCATCCTGTAAATCCTGTACACAAAAATGGCAGTAAGTAATAATTACGTCGAAATTTCAATCAAAACTTACGTTAGACTATTTCAATCTATTTCGACTTACTTCAATTTGATCAATGTTGATATTTTTGAATTCCTTTTGCATTTGTTTGACACCGTCTTTCATAGCAACTACAGTCGCCTGGGTATCTTTCAACGTTTGAGTGGCATAGTTGGCTTGCTCCATGTTGAATGCCTGTTGGCGCAAGTTGTCCACTTGGGCTTCGTACATTTTCCGTTGTTTCAATATACGTAACGCCTTGGCCTTCACCGCATTCTTAGCCGGCCCATCTCTCATCTTGACCATTTGGTCTTTGTATTTTTTCAACTCCACATCTAATCTAGCTATCTTCTTCTCTGCAGAGTCCGCCCTACTATCAACCTTGATAAAGGCATCATACATTTACCAAACAAATTCCTCTAAGTCATAAAATGTCTGTTTATTTATATCATATTATTTAGCGCGAATCCTATGAATTTTCCTCGACATAAGGATATATAACAGAACGCAAGTAAAAGAATAAAAAATAAAAAGGTATGTTGTTTTTGACAGCAAGAAACCTGTCGTTCTTACCCCAGCAATACAATCCGTGATACTTGGTGGTGGTTCCTTGGGCTTCGCACGTCCGAAAAGTCTATTCATTTTTGCGGATTAAAGCTATAATTTGCTATAATTTTCAAAGAGACAACTTTCGTGATATATTTTTCTGTCAAAATCTGAGATCTGACTAATCCCGGTAGTGCAGACAAATGCGACGAAAGACGGGTCTCTAGACGGAACAATTGACGTTTCTTTAGGCGGGAATACATTTTCCGGTAGAATCGACCTTCTATAGTAACTTTTACGCCGCGTTCATCTTCCCGCCAAAAGCGGGCGTTCAATTCACCAATCGGGACGAAAGATACTCTGTCCTGATTGGTCAATGGATCGCTTCCAGCGCTGTTGGCAAGACGATGTTCGGCTACTTTCAGACTAGCTTCAAATTCTCTGGTCGGTCTGCACTTTTGTCCGAAAAGATTCGAAAATTGAAGAACATAACTTTGTCATTGATAGAGCATATTATATTATTCAGGTAATATTTATTGCAAAATGGTATTTTTGAATGGAAGAATGTCAAATTATATCTCAATGCAAATACTCCCGTACTTTTGTGGATTCGTTTTTATTCTATTTTTTATTTTCGCAGAGAAGTCAATCTAATTTTATCAGAGAAGTAGATTCAACTTCGAAATATACACTTCAAGGTTAGAAAGTGCAAAGAATCTTATTCTTCGATGAAATAATTCAGGTAATTGAGCTCTCATTGCGTATAAAAGTATAATAATACAAAAAATTATTCAAATATTGTAAGAAAGAAAAAAGAACAGAGACGCCAATTTTGCAAGGAAATTAATCTCGAAAATTTTATCGTTGTTTCGTTATCAGTAACGTCAGAAAATGATTAGATTAGCTGGCAGAAACGCAATATCGTTAGCATCTAATACGAAACATTATATGTATAAGTCCAACAATAAGTAAGTAAATGAGCATATGTATCAGGATATATATCGCAAATAATGCATCCATATTTATCCGCGCTTATAATTTGCTCACCGTAATTAATAATGAAGGAGATTTACTGTATATAAGCCTCCGATAAGACAATCCCTCGCGAGATGATACCACGATTACGAAGACACGCAAGATTCAAATATAATTAAAACTTTATCCCACGAGTTGCTCATTATTTCTCGCTATAAATCGTTCGTCGCCATATTTTATTTTAGGCGACCAATTCCTCGTATAACATGCGGCTGTCTCGTTTTTCTCTCTTTCGTTGATACGAAAACCGAACAGCTTATTATCAAGCAATGCTTATGCGTCAATTGTTGAGAAAGATTTATGGATGTCAAAAGTATTCAAAATATTTCATTTTTCGATCCTATATATAGATGGCTTTTCACCCGAGAGTACTTGAAATTGCGTTCTCATTCAATTTTTAAAAACATAAATTTTTTACTTCCTTTTTAATTGTTATGTTAAAGAAATTACAATTAAAAATTTAAATTATCTTTTTGATATAATCTTCATCAAAATTGAATTTGCTAAAAAAGTCAATCAAATAACTTTACTGCAAAAAACTCGTGAGACCTATAACTGAAGAGGACATTCAATGACTCCAAAAATCTATTAATTAAATAATAAAAAAAATAACTTAAACCTATAACTAAAGAGAGTATTCAATGATTTTAGGGCGCCCTGTATAACTCGAGGGTAACGAAGAGGAAGGTGACTGCCAGGAACGGCATACGTGGAATATAGGAAAGAGGGTGACATGCAGGCAGGCGTCGCGGTGGTGGTTTCGGTGCGACCGCGATGGCGGTGGCGACGTCGGCGTCAGGGCGCCTGCGTGAGCAGCACCGCCGACGCAACGGCGGCGACGGCGACGACGCCGACGACGGGGACGCCGACGACGACGAGGACGACGCCGACACCGACGACGAGGAGGCCGATCAGCAGGTACGGCCCGGCGAATATCGCCGAATGCGCACGGTTTGACGCGCGAGGTCACACGGTGACTTATACTCGAATACAGGGCAGTGGCAGTGGCATGCCCCGATCCGCGGCGCGGCCGCAGTGTTCCAAGAGTCGGCACGACGCACGAATCGCACCGCTGCGGCGCGCGCGCGCGCGAGAGATACACACGACGACGACGACGACGACGACGACGACGACGCAGCAGCAGCAGCAGCAGCGGCGACCGAGGAGAGACCACGAAGTTGCGTCGCCGAAACGTGTTCTGCTGACTGGAGTTTTCCGGGCCTCTTCCTCCTCCTTCTCCTTGAACTTCCACCAACCCTTCTCTCTCTCTCTCTCTTTTCTGTACTATTGAAAATCGCGGTCGACGGAGAAGACCCAGAGGCTAGACGACGGTGAAACGACACAGTGTACCGTCGAGGGAGGGAAATAGGGAAAATATGCGAACCGATCGGGTGCAACGTTAGACCGTCGTTCTAGTACCTCGTAGAGGAGGAGGTGGGAGAGACCGACGTATACGTGTGCGGTCAGAGGTGGTGCACGGATATCGTGTGTAGGCGGATCGGTGGCAAAGGCGGTGGAAGAGGCGAACCAGCGGTTTTGCCTACCGCGCGCGGTCACCGCAGTGTGCGAATTCGCTCCGATTGTTTGCTCCGATTTGTCCGGGTGGTGCACGTCGTAATCGAGGAGCGCGAGCAGTAAAGTGGTAGTAACCCTGACCTGACCCCCGCGCGCGCTACGCACCTCGGGCTCGCGCTCACGTTTTGTCATCAGTATCCCCGCGAGACTCACGGTGTGTGCGCGTGCAACAAACACATCGGCGAGTTCTTCTCCGTCCGCGCCGCGCCGCGCGTCTCACATACGTAACCGGGCTTATTGACGATCGATCGATCTCGCGAGCGCGACAACCGATATACGCGTCGCGTAATAATCAGCGATCGGTGACGGGGAGTAGTACACGAGTTATCGTTCCGCGAGTGTCCGCGGGGAATCCGCTGGCTATCATCGTTCTCGTACATCAGCCCTTCACGTGAAAATCTTGTGAGTTTTTAGTGCGACACCGCTCGCGAAGGACGTGGATTCTTCAGTTTTGTTTGGATTCAGGGTGGCAAAACATATCGTGTATACGCTCTACACGCTCTTCCCTCTTCCCGCCCTCCACCACCCTCTTGCTCCTCAGTCTCTGCGATACGATCCGCGGAGCGACCTCGTATCGTAGTCGTGTGTGTGTGGTAGTGGAAAGCAAAAGGTAGTCGCGCGCGCGCTGCGTTGCGTATTTGGGAGGATTCCAAGTGGTCCAGCAGTGTGTTTCCGTCGAGAAGATCGAAATTATGTTCGCCAGGGGGTAGCCCCCGGACAAAACGCATACGAGAACGGTGGTTCGAGCGACCGCGGGAAAGGTGGTCGAGAAGAGCAACTTCAGTTACGAGCTGCGCTTCGCGTTGAAGCGCCGTGACGACGATGACACTGTTGGTCGCCGAGTAAGCTTGGCAATTCTCTTCGACAATCGAGAGGATGCCACGGGGACAGAGTCGCTGCCGAATTGTACCGGGGCGACGCGACATCAGCGGGATCTAAAAGAGCATTTCCGAGTGTACGGTTTCGTGATAAGAAGACGTGGAGACACGAGAGCGAGAAAAAAGGAAGGGCTTCAGGAAAAATAGATCGAGGCGGTGAAAATAGAAGGTGAAACGCAGCGAAGAATAGGAAGTCTGACGAGAGAAATAAAAAGGAAGGTGCAGAGAGTACAGAGGGGAGACACGCGACGAAGAGGATCATCGCGCGACGTGGCCTCTCGATTTCCGGGGTCTCTCTCTCTTCGTGGGTGTTTTTACGCGTACGACCGTGGATCGATAGTTTGTCCCGCGAGCTCGTGCTGGACAGAAACGACGACGAGTCACCCTACGTGGAAGAGTCACGCGCGATCCTCTCGCGTTCAACGACAACGACACCCTCGTGCTGCGAGAGAAGAAGAAGAACAAGTTTCCGAACGGGCCTAGCTGAAAGTGCTGCTTAACGCGACGATTGAACGCAACGTCGAGCGGACACCAGAAGCTTCGCGGTGATTTATGGGGGACTACAGCACGACGAGTCTCTTTTCCAGTATCTTGACCAGCCCGAAACCTAGTGCGACCACAAGCAATAGCGGCACTGGCAGCGGTAATAGCAATAGCAGCAACAGCAGCAGTAATAACGCCATCGGCAGCGCCGCCGTCACCATAACAACATCCACGATGCAGGACGATCTGCTGATCGAGAAGCAAGCGACCGGCAAACCAGCTCCGCTCTCGCCGAGCAGCGCTCTGGATACAGTTGCCGGACAAGACAAGTCGAAGGACGCGATCGAAGCGGAGAATATCGCCATCACCCCGACGACGCCCTCGTCAACGGACAAGGACATTACGTGTAGCACGACCTCGGCTCTGCAAGGCTTCGCCGATCCCGGTGGTCGCGTGCCCAGCCTCTGGTCCGCACCGGACGACAGCGGGCTGCACACCGCGTTACCAGTCAACGGCTCGATCGCCGCTTTTCAGAACTTTCCGGCTGGTGGACCCGCGGGCCTGTTCGCCAGCACTGGTGCCGCTGCCGCCGCGGCCGCGGTTTCGACCGGCACACGTCGTGCCATCACGGCTAGCCATAATTTCCCTCAGCAACAACCGCAGCAACAGCACGGTAACGCGGGTGCACCCACGGGCACCAGGCACGGCGGTCTGCAAGTGTCCTCGGCGCAACAGCAGCAGCAGCAACAGCAGCAGCAGCAACACCAGCAGCAGCAGCAGCAGCAACAACAACCGCCGCCGACATCGCATCCGGGAGTCTACCTGCCCGGGAAGGGCTACGCTGCGTGGTCGGGAGGTCCCCAGGCACCGCAGCAGTGGGGCGCGGGCCCGCAAGCGGCCGCCGCGGTCGCCAGTCCGGGCCTGTCACCTTGGAATCGCGGCAGATCCGTGCCTAATCTACCACCGTTGCACTCGTCCTTGCACGCTGCCGCGGCGGTGGCGGCCGGTCTTCAGGGTCGCAAGCCCAGTCCGACGTTTCCGGGCCATCCGGGCCCGGCAGCGGCGCATCCCTCCTGCATCAGCCCGGTCAAGTTCCGTCGGAGCACCTCGTACCCCGGCAAGGGCAACATATATCCGCCTCAGCCGGCGCCGACCTTCGAGGTCACCACCGCCGAAGAGAGGGATTTACTGCAGCTACCACCGTTCCAGCAGGTGAGTCGATGTCTTCAAATCTACTTTTAAGTTTGAAAAAGCCGTTGGATGCGGAAATTATGTACCGCCTGTGGTGAGGTGATAAGTAGGTTGATAAACTTTTCAAGGATTTTCCGTGTAATCCATTTTTCTAAGAACGCGAGAAAATTAATCTCAAAGTTTCGAGATTTAATTTAATTCGCGACAAAGATTTCACTTTTGCAATATTAAAAATTCATTCTCCCTCAAGCTTTTCTGAGAAAAAAAGCGAATTAGAACAATGAGTGCTCTAATGTATTCATATCTGGAATGAGTATTTTTTTCGCACCGAAATGAAACACTTTTGTGAAGGCAAACAGCTGCTCGACTGAGTGCTCAATTTCCCGAGCATTTTTAAACTAGTTTTCTCCCTTGTCTTTTCTCCCGGTGTTTAAGCAAACTCAATCATCTCTAATTGGTTAATGAATCAGTTAAAACCAACATGTTTAATTATCAACTTCATAGAAAAATATCTTTCGTTATTAACTAGACGCGCTAATCACATGGGCAATTAGATTGCACTCCTTTCTCCGCGCACGCCGCTCGATAGAGAATTGCAGCGAGCTCGTCCGGGAAAGGAGGAGAAAAACCTCGAAGAGAGCCGACCGCGGACTCTCGTTGTTTCGCTCGATTCGCGAGCGCACCGATGGCACAGACGTTGCCACGACTTTTTTAGCCGAGTAGCATTGCGTTATCGATCGCGGTGGAGAGAGCAGGTAGTATAGTCAAAGGTACCCGCTTGTAAAACTGCGCCGGCAATCATGCGGTCTCACAGGCCGACGAGGAAGGCACGCGCGCTCCGACTTCCGCAGTTTCGCGCTCGTTCGGTGTGCCACGACACCGCGCCACGCGTTCCTCGTGCCACCAGGAGTTATGCAACTGGCTAGAGGAAGAGACAGAAGAGACAAAGAGAGAGAGAGAGAGAGAGAGAAGGGGCATTTCTCGTATTTAAATTTAGCCAATACAACGACTGTTTCGGCGATTAGTTGCGCTACCGAGCGACCTGACTTCGTATAGTCTTTAACGGCGCGATAATGTCGCAAGTTAAGAGTATAACATGTGTAGTCGTGTAGGTGGATGCCTTTCCGTCCGCAAGAATTTTACACAGTCGAATTCAGGTTATCTCTCGCGGCCCGTCATTTCGCATATCTATTCGCGTGATAACGAAATCGTGCGTACTAGCGCTGAAAGAGCAGGTTGAAGCTGTACCGAGTATAGAGTGTTTTGGGAGTCTCTTTTATATTTTTTTTTATATTTTTTCGGCGCAATCGGAGCGGCGTTTTATCGTAATTGTAATTAATGCATGTGTGTCGCGGTTGAATAGCGATTAAAAATAATCGGTAGCAATATGGAGATAGATAATGGTACGAATGGCGCGACGAAAATATGCGTTAGCGGTTTTTTTTTTCTCAATTAATATATTTTTCCACACTTCTCGCTCCATTTACGTCCGATGCACACTGACGTTGTGTTACGTTTGAATCGCGATATTGATCTTAAACGGGAGCTTTCATTATATGTATATATCTTGCACGCAATATATATGGTTAGCGAATGAATAAATAATTTCGTTTATATGTGGCCACTGGTTGTCCATTATAAGAAGCTTAATTCGAATAATTTAATATAAAGTCAATGTATATATATATATATATATATATATATATATATATATATATATGTGTGTGTGTCTACTATTTTGATTTTATATTTTAGTAATGGATAAAATTCGTTTATGTGTCATTATTATTTTAATTATTTATTACGCGCTTTATGACAAATCTTTTAATCAATTCTATTTAATAATTCTCCGTAACAATTTTATGAGTAGCAAAATAATGTCCAAATGAAGAGAGTTTAGATTTATTTATACACACACGTTAAATTTCATTATTAAATTAGAATTGCATTTATAAATATAGATCTTTATTTTATAAAATAATTATATATTCTTATGAAAGATAACTGAAAATAATTATTTATCAATTATTAAATTATATGAAAAGTTTCTAAAGTTTTCTAATAGTAATAGACGCATGAAGAAAATGTTACAAATCTTCTTAAACATTTCTTACATATATATACATACAAAATTACCATATTTTAAGGAATTATTTTATAGAATTAAATACTTTTTTATGATTGGAATTATCGAGGCTACCATTAATAATTGATTTCATTTTTTTTGTTATCCGGTCGCGCTATCGGAAACTATTTCGCTGATACTTATTTCGTCGTTCAAGTCTGACCTAATTCCTTTCCAACGTAGTAACTCCAACAGTGTCTAGCAGAAGTTTAAGCTCAGCTATTTTAACCATCACTCGAAAATAGATCTGCATACTATTCGAGAGAAATGGCGGATGTCGTCATGTTGTCGTTCAGCTATTACCTCCACGTACCTCGTGTTCCAACATTTATATATTTGTACACAATACAATGCTTTCCTTCACTCGATTTCTTAATCATACCAAATAGTGGTATGGAAATAATGGAGTCTATGGTATAAAAATGCGAAAAAATATCTATAGTATTTGAAAAAATACGTGTTTATTAATATCTAATAATATATACACAGTATCGATATAATATCATGATGTATTTGCGCCAAAAAGTGTGATATAAATTTTTATAGAGATTTTAAAATATATATGATTACATATACTGATAACATATTTGAAAAATATTGCTTATGTTTTAACACTTTTCTGAGTACTAATTATTCTGATTGATTACATTTATTAACGCTCTATACTTTTATATATCAATTAAAGTTAAATATTTATTATTTGACGTTTTGATCGAAAATTCCATATTATTTCGACATTTTTCTGGCTGATATACAAAAATTCGACATTTCGTCAGATTTATATCGGTAGGCATCATAGCTGCGTTTCAAGGAACGAACAGGTGAGCCACATCGTGCAGTGCAAGATGTAGTATTCATTTATCAGTAACCTCAATATCGTTGATTCGACTGTACGTCGCCAAAAACAATTAGCTCGTACACAAACAAGTCGTGAATACGATTATACATTGATTCAATTAAACACTACCTTCAGTAGAAATTACGATACAACATCCATGGTTCTCGAGATGCTCTTCGGAAAATTTAGTTGCCCTGTTAGAAACTATAATTTATTCTCTCTTTTTACCTACATGTGTTATACAATATATTATAAAATTTAGAAAAAATAATATACAAGAAAGTATTGATATTTTTTCTTTTTACTTTGTTTTTGAACATTTGGAGCGATGAATAATACCTGTATATAATATCTATATAGTTTGAGATATTGCTTTCGAATTTATATATTATATATATTATTATTATTATGAAATATAATCCCTTTCATTCACTTTAAACAAATTTGCATTGTATCAATAACATTAAGCACCATATAGCTACAGAAGCTTAAATTGAATATGAATCACCGTAGCCGATAATAATAGGAGATGAATATACGGTAACACGAGAAGAGCAAAAATAGCCGTACTTTTTCGACAATTTTCCGATTTTCGCCGTGGTCGATTCGCTTTCGACGCGACTGTGTAGGAACGGTCGATGAATAATATACTAGCACACAAGTGTCGTGGATTATATGTAGAAGTCGCGCGCGCACGCGCCCAGGTAATGCGGCAAAAGCGCCTAACAGAGCGAAGAAATGTTCGAGCTCGAAGTCCGATAACTCATTGCTCGTCATTCACCTTGAGAAGGGGAATCGGGGCACGTGCAGTAGGTCGCCTCTAGCCGATATGTCGAGAGGACCAATCGCCAGTGGATCGCAGGCATACATACACATGCATATACAATATGATCACAGGCTTGTATGTCAATAATCGCGTCGCAATACGTAAAAAAAAAAATTGTAATGTGATGGATACACGTATAGAGATAACGATTTTTTTTATTGGCGCTGAGTCGTCGTTGCTTTTACTTGTGCGGCAAACTCGAAACGTCATTACGAAACGCGGCCTCGCTGTCGAAATGGGTCTGACGAAACGCGAAGACTCCGCTCTGGCTGGCCCGCACGTGTTCCCCGGCCAATAGCGTTTCTATTTATGGCATTTTATCATGCAACTGGGTCTAAAACGATGTAATAACGCCTACAAAAGTGTCATGTGGCCGATGACGGAGCCTGCTGATCGTTGAAAAAACGGAGAGGCGGCTCGCGATATGTCGCGCGAAGGTCGACTCTCGTCCCGAGGGTTCGAAATTGATCTCCGATAGATCGAAGGTGCGCGAGGCTAATTTTATTCCGTGTGCACGATCGGCGGGAAGAAACACGAAAAGAGATTTCTTAGGAAACTTTTTATCCGCATGCGACAAGTCAGCCGCAGCTACTTTCAAAGTTCTTCGTGTGCATTCTGCCGAATAAATTTAAAGAACCCTCCCATATACATATACTGCCTGCCTTAGATTCTCCCGCGTTTCTCCTTTATTTACAGATTCTTTGACCAAGTTAAAGCAAACTTTCTATTGCCAAAAATATCAAAATACTGACAGCTTTAAAACTGTAATTTGTAGAAAAAATTTTAAAAATTTTCAGGTTATACAAACTTGAAAAATTTATTCTTTACATAATTTTGCCGGATCTTATTTTTAAAAGTCTTGTATTTATAGAATTTGTTACGTATGTATATTTTCTTGTGAGTGTTAAAAGGTTGTGAAAAAAAAATATGACTTCCAGCAGTCTGATTTTTTGTTTCTTAAGAAATGATTTATTATTCATTACAGCTTTCTTCTTCCATCTTGTACGATCCTTATTTTAATACCTTTATCCTATATTCTTAACATAGATAATAGTGATAATCTTGTCATTTTATATTATTTTAGTATAACAAGAACATATTTAAAGTTTGCTCTATTTTTGATTTAATTATTCTTAAAGAAATGAGAGATTAAAAATAATATTCTTTTCTACGAAATAAATAAACTATTATGCATGCAAAATTTTTTGCATTATGCGAAGTTAAATCGCGTG